GCTGGAAAACTATCGAGCTGGTAAACTAGGCGGTGTTCCAGTATACGATGGTATGTTGTATTATTATTGCAATAGGTAGTTTCAGAAAATGTGCTCCATCCTTGGTAGGATTATTTACTTTAATGCAGCTCCATAAACAATACTTTCACAGTGGTGATGCTTACATAGTTAGTCACTATTTTAAAGCTTCACTTCGTCCTTAAGTGCGTTTAGGTGGTTCAGAGAGAGAACGGGCGTTAACCACGCGCAAGGTTAGGGGTTGATCCCCGGGCAACGTACTCCTAAACCTTAATAAGCTGGCAGAAAGGCCGGTAAAGAATGAAGGTTGGACACGAGGGTAGCAACCTCATCCCGTAAAAATATAGCCAATACTACCGAAACTTCAAATCGTTAGCTTGAGGCTCTATGAGCCACTGGGAACGTACGGGAATACAAAAGCGTCTTTGACTTTTTGAAACGATATTGACGATGTGCTGTTTTACGACTAAAATTCTGTTTGGGAGAAGTTAAGGTAATGCTGTGTGATGATCGCGTGACCTTGAAATGTCTGCAGAAAATGTGTTTGTTCTGGTTATTCTTTGAAGACAGAGTTTCGATCGCAACTTGTCTGGAATATTCTTACTGACTCTCAGATAATTTTTCATAGTGTCTGATTAGTTAATTTTAATGGACATTATATACTTTGCACCTGAAAAAATTGTTCACTGTAAAGCTGCCGGTCACTAGTGTTGCGGGGGTTTTGTATTTTCGATACGTTATTATTCTTGAACATTATCACAAATTCTGCGATATTCAAGCATGTTTTCGATACTGTTTAAATATACTTTTGGACTACGAATTAATGGCCATATAACGTTTTTCAAGTACAGAGAAGCATGCCTGGATACGTTTCTGAGTTCGGACTGAAATAACTGATTCATGTATAATCCGAATCCAGGCATTAATGAAAACAAAACACGTAGATCAGCGAAGAGTCTCTTTTCGGCGAATCCATTTTCTTGGCTGTACAATCGCAAATATATATGTGTTATTTTGTATGTATGTGTACAATAAGTTAGTCAAACCAAAATACAGTTGATCATAGTTATTTTAACTAAGCAGGTGAAGATTGGTAATTGGAGCTGCGTTATACAAAATCAGTCAAGAAAATTAGGTGTTAGTGAAATTAGGGTAGTAACAAAGGTGATGAGTTGTCACAAACAGTTGTTAAAAGAAGTTATGTGGTTTTGGCTGTTGCACTGACCCGACTGCTGGAGCACACTGACACAGTTGCAACCCTATTGCACTCTGGATGCGTGAAGTCTATCGCATCTAGAGAGTATAGTACTGGGAAATTCTTTTGAAGTTATTCCTAATGCCCAAGAAAGGCGAGGATGTAGAAAGGGTCGTTTACCCCCTAGTGGGTCTAGTGAATAAAGAGTGGTCACCATTGATGTCAAGAGAATAAGAGGATATGAGGGAATTATGGGCTGCAGTCTCTCACCCAAGACAGGCCCAAACCAACGCACAGGATGTACCTTCCTCAAAAAATTAGATACCGTTTCCTAAGAGTGAAGGCATCAACCATGTAAAAATTTGATAACTTCTACAAGTCGACGATGCTTCATAAACTAGATGAATATGTTGTTCAGACTCCGAAGACTGATTTTAGTGTGATTTCGTTCTAATCAAACCTAGTAAACTACATTTGCGAATTCCTACATCTGTTGACCGCCAGTCATTTTGTTCAGCTATCATGTAAGGTAATTCTAAAATAAGTATTGAAGAGGTTTCTTTGTATAAAACTGCATACTGTTTTCACCATAGTTATGACTTATGACGTGCATGAATTGGTGTCTCACGGCGATGCGATAAGTGACCAATTCGAAAAACCCTCACTCTCACTTATCTGTAATATGAATGTTTGTATGCAAAGCCTTCGAAATTGAGTGAGGGTTCTTACAAGCAAGCACTACTTGTACGACCTTGCAGCATCGGTTGCACAGTGGTTAGGACTCTCGCTGACCATGCACATGGTCCAAGGTTCGATCCCCTGCCAACGCACACCCGATGTCTATGGTCGGCCTGCGAAATTTGGGCTACTGATATCTATGCTGAAAATTCCATACCTGTACCAAATATACGGTGTGGCATCAAGCTGTAACCAAAATAAAAAATAATAGATCCACCTCTCCGTACTGTTTCTAGAGTGTCGTGGGACGATGAGCATTACGACTGCGTTATTTGTCTTCGGAAGCCAGAGAATTGCAAAAGTGAATCCCTGCGAATTATCAAATGTATCTCTTGAGTAGGATGATTTTGTAGCACTTCAAGATTTTGGCCTTTATTATGAATCTGTTTCAAAAAATTTGGTCATTCGGTTTGCTTATTACGTTCATTTCTGCAATTCCATTGTTTCGTTGTAATTTTTAAGCTTCGACACAGAGACGCAGTCCCGGGTTAAGTAGAAATTCTTATGGTCATTAACTACTGCTCATACTTAAATCTAGCAAATCGTATCCAAAAACAGTTCACAGGTCGTAATTTAAGTGAACAGAGCTGCCTTGCCAAGAAAATACTCATTACTGAGGAATTTTGGATAAGAGAAAGTACTAAGCCAACTACTCTCACACATATGTTATTACAGGGCCGAAGTATCAAACTGAACTAAAAATTTTCTTATCCGTTACGCCAAGTCTGTTGGACGGATGGACAGATTTGGATAGCCTGGTTGACCCAGGAAACATGGTTTTCATCCCCATTATGGATTTGTCTTCAGCTCCTGACGGGAATGTTCATCTGCATGATTTTATCGTGCGTGCAACAGAGTCTTTAAACTGCAGGGGTGGCGAAGCAGTTATTTACCTTAAGAACCTATCTTTTTGCTGCGAAGAATCCCTCGCGCGAGAAATTGGATCTTACATACCTCGCTGTAGATAAGAACTCGAGGAACAACACACCCCTAGATTTTACACCTCAAGAGACTTTCTAATAGAAAAATTACGCTTAGGGGAAATCGGAATGTCACTTTCTTATAGTCTGTGATTTCAGCGCTTCGTCAGTAGACTGGAAAAATCCAACAGACAATACTGCCGAACATCAGCCCCAATTGCCAGAACATGAACTTTATGCAGCTTCTTAGGGGAAGTAATCGCTCTGTACCACTGTTAAGCTCACAGATGCCGTAGTGTCCTGAGCCAAATATCCAGCTCGGTAAAACACATAAGCCAATGGGAATACCATCATTTCTGTATCCTAATTAGAGAGCTGGACTGTAGATCAATAAGCTCACTGCTAGTGGAGACGCCGTGTGATACAAATTCAGGTGACATTATTCCTGGTTTGCACGACTTCGCACCCTGTAAACTATCCAGAAGTGTCATAACCCCCGGCCTTACCGATCATCTAGGATATTTGTTGACCGCTTAGACGTAAATACAAGTACTTCCGACAACAAAAGGTGTAAATCGAAATTAGAAAGGGGGCAGTTAAATTAATTCGCCCATCATGGGTGGAACAAGGAATGCGTCTGAATCAAAACGTCATGCTGCAACCAAAGACAGTATTCCCTGCTGTGAACTTATGAATAAGGTGTTCATGAGGGTGTCTGATTAGATTGCCGACACACACGTGATCAAGTAGGACCAAAAAAAGTTTGAAGCAGTGGTAGTCTACTTCCGAACAGTATTCGCTCAGGAGCCACCTCAAAATACTTCATCGGCTCAGGCTGCACTATGAGAAAATGAGATAGGTTTCGTTTATATAGTCCAAAAAACTGCATGTTAAACACTAAGCCAACTGGATGTCACGAGACCAATGATCGTAACCGTAGGCTTTGCAGTGAACCTGTAGCTTCAGTTCCAGAACAACTGACTACTGTCTCCAGGTTATTGTTTTCATGTGGAGTTTTACTGCGGGATTAGTAGGGTGTAACACCCACCCCATGCTAAAGGGAGGACCCATGCACTGTTCTTCAAGCTACAGTCCTATTAGTCTTACCAGCACCTTAACCAAGACACTGGAAACAGTAATCACAAGGCTTTCATGACATCTTCACAAAACAGCGACTTATTATAAAACCCACAACTCTGTTTTTGTGGAGAAATATCTCGTATCTGATAAACATCACAACACAGCAAGGCAGAGCAATGTCAAGATATCCATCAAGTCCGTTTTCATATATTTTAGAGAGGCTTTCTATAAATGGTTTCACACAGGACTGTCCACAAAGTCAGAAAGCTTTGAAATCAAGTTTTGGCCACGCAAACTTATCAATGAATTCACCATGGACAGTGAACAGACGGCAAAGATTAATTTGAAACTCTCTTCTCAGTCAACAGTATGTAACTGTGCGATTCAAGATATTGTACTCGCCCCTTCTTATTTTCCCTGTATATAAACCAATTATCTGGATTTATCGAATATCCCTTGGTTCTATACCCAAATTGTCCCAAATGTGATACGAATATTTTTTACTGGAATAACTAGCGAGATGTTCATCATCTTTTATATATCTCTCGTGAAATCGAAACTATGCAAATACATCCAGACAATCAAATTTTGTTTAATAGTGAACACATATATTCCAGAATGATTCTGGGGTGAATCTTCATATGATTCCTTTTGTGGCCAACTTACCGTGCGACAAACGGATTAACACTTTAAGTCTCTTCTCATTACCATACCGTACTCAGGGACATCTACTCACTATTATGAAGATTCTAAGCGATGACTTTTCTCCTATTTTCATTTAAACCATTTTATAAGATCTTGGATAACACCGAAGAAGAATTCCACATTCGAGTAAAGACTATATCAGCACAACCATCAAGTCAGTCTGGCAACAGTTCGCCAGTAATATTAAGGTTTACACATTCAGTAGACTCATTCAAGATAGAAATTTAATAAAAGTAGAATCGTATTAGAAACGGATTAATAGAGGTTTGAAGCCATTTATCCCCAAAGAAAATCCTGAATCTGAAAGCAGTCTATCAAGATATTGGACATTGAATATTACTAGCGCTTCAACTAATACAGCTCGATTACTCATCATATTTTGCTGGCACGATGGGTATGGATTCGGTTATGAAGCCCGTAGGAGAGGAGGTAAATGCGAAGAAAGATGACACTGCTAAGGATGATTTGGTAAACTTTCAGTATTTTGACATCATCTTTAGTCTGAGGAGGATAAACAGCTGCAAGAAGAATTAAAAATGCTCGTTGAAAGATTAGAGGAGCCAAATCAGGAGCTACATAAACCAGCTTTAGAGTCAATGTGTACGTTAATCAAGTCTTCCACGACTTCCATGACATCCGTGCCAAAGCCTTTGAAGTTCTTGATGCAATACTATGCTCAGATCAAGTCATTTTACAACACCATTGTTGACGTGACCACAAGAGTAGGTTATTTGAGTTATTAACGCATTAACTACAGCAACTTTGTGCTGACGTAGTATCGGTTTTAGGCATGACAGTGACAGATCAACCCGAAACACGTTACGATACATTGACTTATAGACTTCTTGGTTGTCAGGGTGATATAGGAGCATGGGGCCATGAGTACGTCCGCCATCTAACAAATCAAATTGTTGGAATATGGCAGGAAAAAGAATATGATTCACTGATAAATAATCCAGATGGTATGAGATTTATTTTTATCCAAACTGTCTGCAGGTACCGAAGAGATGAAAAAACACAGAGAACAGTGTCTTGCCCTCGTTCACCAAATAATCCCTTACTTGATGGAACATAACGCAGAGGCAGAAGCTATTGATCTATGTGTTGAAATAGAACAGCATCACCTCCTAGAATTGTACACAACCAGCCTGAATTACTCTCGTGTTTGCTTGTATCTTACGAGTTGTGTAGCATATCTCCCTACACCGGATAATACGAAAGTAAGTTACTTTGTGTTACTAGCGTAAAATTTCGTCCGTATGCAATTTATAGGTGACTTCAGTAGATGTAACCACTTACTTATAAATTTTGCTTGTCTTAATCCAGTTTTCAAACTAATATCTGAAAGTCTCAGGACTCTATGCTTAGCAATTATAAGATTGTGGCTCGTCTTTTTGAGCACATATATCAAAAATAATTTCACTGGTTATGACTGAGTGTTCTGTCTACTAAGGTCTAAGTATTTATGTAATGACATACAATGATTGGTCGGTAGTTCCTTATCAACTTGTTAAATGCATACATCACATATGGGAACAGGATTTTTTGCTGGATCACGTTTCAAATAATTTTTCGGTCAGAGTCATATGAATTTTAATTTTTAGACCTAAGACTCGGTTTTCGTAGTCCTCGTGCATTCTCATTTGTCGAATTTTCCAGATGTCCCGGACAGCTTCATTTATCGACTTCCTCCACCTGAGGAAAATTCTGCTACCTTAACAAGTGGGGAAGAATTAGAACTATAAAAATTAAGTCCTGAAGTTATGTTCTAACAGTTTATATGCTAGGATCATTAAGTTGTATCCAAAATGTCATCTGGTAATATATCCAATAAAGATTAATATGGTATCAAATACTGACAGTCTCCAAGCTCCATGCATTAATAATTAGTCACTTGTTTTAGTTTATATTAACTCGGTTCCTGGGTAGCATGTAGTCATTTTGCTTTGCAACTTTTTCATATTGTGGATGTTGTCCACCAAAGAGCATTATGTATTTCGGACTTTTAATGCCTGGTATCTCCACGAAATACCGCCAGAGTACGTATAGTCTTTGAATAAAGTAAATTAACAGATTTTGTAGAATTATATGGTACCATTATTTGTTTCGTTGCATTCTCATCATCTGCTTGCAGTCTGAATAAATTATTAAGTCTCTGTTTAATAAGTTCAGAACCTCCTGTCAACTGACATCATGTAAAATTTGCAAGTATGTTAAAGCATTTCTGGGCAACAGTAAAGAATAGACACCAAAATCAAATGACCTCGAATCCCCCAATTATATCCTTCTAGGTGAAAAGTGGCATTTATTTATAAATAAAAGTGTATTTATAAGGCATATGTGTAATAAAACTGAATTATACGGGATATATATATCTAAGATGCTGTAAAGACTGGTCGCAGTTTCTCACAGGAGTATCTGTAGACGTAAAACCAATGTTGATACAAAAATCTAATTGTCTGTATATCATAACACATATCGAGAACCATTTACCAGTATGATATTTTTTTAGATGCACCCAGAATCCTTCAGTGAAATTTGTATGAGTCCCACTTATAGGACCTACTAATTCAGAAGCATGGTTCACTTTAAAGTCAATCATCATAATTATGATGAATAGAGTCTATTGATGATAGTTGCCAATAACTCTTCCACTCGTGTATGAATGGTAGTGCCCAGGAGGACGGGTCGTTGTATTATTGGTATTAAAACATCTAAGTGAAACTTGCAACGAAAATTATGAACACCATCCATGCCTAGCCATCTTATTGATTGATTCAAGGTCATTTGATTTTGGTGTCTATTCTTAACTGTACATAAACTTAATATTTATTTCGGCTGTAAGTAGCTGATTAGAAGCCAACGAAATAAATGATATTACCATATTATTCTGCAAATCTGTTCTTGCTTTATTCAAGTTCGTAAAGGGGAATAAAAGTATGAAGATACTTCTGGTCTCTTTCAGTCCCTCTGACTTTTACATTCACTGCATATTTCAACAAACTTGGTTGTGACGTTAACTCTCCCTGAAAACCTTGGCTAGGTATTATATTTCATTCGCATAACTCTGTGAAGGCTATGAAAGTGAAGTATTCAGAATACAGCTACTATTTTGGTGTTATCATCCGTCTCTGTATGGGGAAATAAAACACTACTCTTTTTTGCCTTCACCATTGGGTGGAAAAGAAAATCATTTGATTATTGGAACTTTATTGATAATACTCAGCTGAGGACTCGTTATCATTGATCGTGGTTTATTTAGTTTCTAGTCACACCACATTCTAAGTGAAGTGTAAAAACAGTATAGGTGTGGGTCGCCTTGTTTCCTTTAAATAAACTTGACATTGAGCTTAGAATTTTGAGCAGTCATGGTTATTTGGTTGCCACTGATATGTGAACACGTTTGCAAAGTTTTCATGGCTTCTGGAAATTTTAGCTGCATACAAACCAATGGATATCCGTGCATGTATTGACAACGTTCTGAATAGCAAATTTGTTTGCCATGTATTAGGTTAGTCAGTCTGTCAGACTTTAAATTAAATTTGTCGGATAAAGCAGATTTCACTGGCTTATGTTTAGTTTGTGTTGCCATGACTTGACCACCTCTTTGTATGTTTTCGTTAGAATTACTGGAGACTATTTCATTGACTCACCGACTGCTGTCTTCAACTGTTTCGTGATTGGGGTCCTCAGAATTTTAAGAGTCAGTTTCTGATTTGTCTTGATAATGGCTCAGTAGTGATACAAGATCTCGTTCATCATCACTTATATTGTGAACACTCTGACTCATTGCATTCACATTTTCTTTCTCTTACATTGTTATTATTTAACATTAGTACAACCCCACTTCTCATTTCTCCTTGTATTTTTAAAAAGTGACCAATTTAGCCTTTTGGCTTTTATATGGGGCCCTCCTATGACTGCTTTTTGTGACATAAATTAAGAATTTAGCTTTTTGTAATATCCCTAATATCTAGCCAAGCGAACCTTGGCCTTCTTTTTAAGCTTAATTCATACTATCTGTTTCTTAAGGGTGACTAAGTTCTTTGTAACAATAAAATACGTTGCAATCGAATTTGCGTACATCTGTTTGTATTTTAATTGTTTTTGATCGTTGGAGTCATATTTCACTTCTCGTCATCTTCATTTTAGGTACTTCAGTATGCAACTATATTATATCGTAAATTTGAGGATTTGGGTAATGCTATGCGTTGTGCTCTACGCCTAAATGACATGAATTTAATTCGCGAGATATTTTTGGAGTCTGGGAAAGTTAAGAAAGGTTCTCGTAACTATGGTCTGCCGATTCAACGTCAACTGGCGTATCTTCTTGGTAGACAGAATATTGTACTACCAGATGAAGAATCTATAGCAGATGATGATTTAACAGAGATGCTTTGGAACATTAGATTATCAGAGCATTTCTTATCACTCGGTCGTGAATTAGATATTATGGATCCGAAGGTAAATTTCTTGCTCTGGTCCTAATTTTTATTATTACTACCACTATCCACCAGCTTTCTTTAATAATTATTTCTATTGTGGTCACTGTGTTAGTAATTACATGTTACTGTATCAGCACAACGTTGAAAATGAGACACTGACACACCAGACCTCTGTCTTAACCTATTCAAATGCCACCTACAGGTCAATGTATCTGACAAGTGTTGAATTTCACTAATTATGTTTTTGTTTCAGAACCTATTATAGGTTGATGGTATGATCAATGGACCCTCGTCTAGGCCAAAAGCCTGCCTAGTTTTCAAAGTTCCATTCAGTTCTCTCAGCACTGGAAGCTAGAATCTTAAGTACTGTTTTAGTCAGCTGATTCCTCTGTGATTATGACAGCAAGATTTTTATCCTCTTTTTCACAATATAGTGTACTAACTTGAGGTAGAACAGTCTTATTCCAGTTTAAAGATTTGTATCGTCAACACTGATATCCTTAATATGTCTTCAGAATGTCATCGATAACCAAGTTAAAAGAATCGTGCTTTTATAGTATTTGTTGTGTTGGATAAGTGTTAACGTAACAAAGTCTATTGTGAACATTGTTTCCGTAGGTCAGCTAAACTGCTTATCAGAGTGCGCTGCTCAGACTTCTAGATATATTTCGAAGTTGTTCGTCAACAAACCAGTCTCACAGACTGTCCAGTTGACACAATACTAGTGACCTATATGATATCGAGCATCTTTCTACCGTTGCCCAAGACATCTTGCTTTTATCTTACAAGCATATTTTGAATACCTGGCATCATGCTTAAGTGAACACTTTGATTTAATGCACAAGAGCACTACACGGACTACTTAACTTCCTATCCACCGAAATGGATTGATGGGTATAAAAAAGTTGCAATGAAATTCAAACTGTTTTACTATCTTCATGACATCTTGTAAGTGAAAGATGTGTTCATCCGTTCTTTCTGAAGAATTAACCGTTCGATAAAATATTTATCTGCGGCAGTAGGTGTTTTTCATACTTCAATAATGAATGATGACCACTAAAATGCACGGAATATTTCACACACTTTACCCAGCCAAACAGCATATAAGTAACTGTTAGTGGGGATTGTCTCTATTGCTTAGTGCAACATAGATATCAAGTAGTCCGGACACCCATACTATATGGTCTCCTAATAGATGCTCACAAAACGTACATTTTTACCTGAGAGATGGAGCAGTTATCCGAAGTACTTCACTATGATGTTGTGTATGTGTCTTTGAGATCCTATAGCTATGTTTTTCAGGATTCTGGCTCAACTATACTATTGTCCGATTTGTGCCAGTGTGTACAATTGTATATGGGAACCTTGAGTGGGACACAATGTGAGAATAACCATGTTAGATGCTGCACTAATGGGCAGCTATTTGGAAGCAACTCTCAAAGGCTCAGACAAACAAGGATTTCGTGCAGTGACGAGCAGCTAACTAAAATAAGGAAATGAATAACAGTAACAGTATAGGTATAAAAATGGAATATTTGTATTTTCTGTGAATACTTCTGATTGACTTGGGCTGAAATATCTTTTCCTCCTCTTCATATTTAGAGCATGTATGAATTAGTCTTCTTGCGCTCATCAATTTGAAATACTCCATAGAAAACCGCGGACTTTTACTTACCCCTGCTTGCTGGTTATCCACTCTTTCCAAATTGTTTCTGCGACAGATTGACTTATCTAGAATGTGTACTACTGTTATGCTTAGTTAACCCCTCCTCAGATGCATAACTGACATTGTCATCATGGGTGAGGTTTTCCACATCGGTGTTAAAGAAGAAAGGTGAACTAGTGAAATGCCAAAAACCAGCGGCTAGGAACTGTTATTAGTGTGGCATACATGGATTCACCGTTTACGAGATCTATAACCATAAGGCTCTCATTTTTCCACATGAATTTCCATTTTTTTTACAGTTGCTTTACATTTCTTTTTTTTCTACCTTTATGTTGTTTTTTTGTGTAGCGTGACAGCCTGGACTGCTGTACTTTTGTGCAAAGTTCTACTTTGAGAATTCACTTCAGTTTTGCTTTTATAGCCTGTGTCCTCACAAGTGTCAGTCACATCAGCAGTCTTTCGTTGATCCTCTTCAGTGATGGCTTGTATCCATCTTTGGTTTTGTTTTGATGTTCACGAAATCAAACCATATCTTTTCTGAATAAAACTAAGAGGTAATCACCGTGGGGCTCTGTAGGTGCCTCCAAAATGCTCTTCTGACTAACTCAGCTTCCGTATTTTGCGCACTAAAGTCACAAGCCTATATCTGATAACAAATTAAATGATGGATCATTTGGTCTTCGACGTTCATATTAGTTTTTAGGTGACTGGCATGTAACCCATATTTAAAATCTTTTACACTTATTAACTTCTTCATCTCTGTCTGTTTGTATTCACCTTTGAAAAGTATAAAATTTATCTTGTTATTTAAAACTGTAGCATTAATAGTGAAGATTTATACGTAAAATAAAATTATCTATTGCTTAGTGAAAATAAAAAAATTCATCTATTTTCCTCTTTTTTGTTAGTTACCTGAAGATATTTACAAATCGCATTTAGAGTCTGTTCGAACAACATTAAATTCTTCGGATTCGGCCCGAGCTAATTTAGCCGCTTCTTATGTAAATGGACTTGTAAATTGTGGTTTTGGGAAAGAAAAGTTACTGCAAGAAACACCTAAAGAGGTACCATGGTTGTGCAAACAGAAGGAATTAGGTAAGTTTCAATTGAGTGAATACAAGTGGTAACTTACTCTGTTGCTTTAAAGTTTTTCAAAGTTTTACATGTCCCTGATTACCTGTTAGGATCGTCTAATTCAAACTGTGATAGTATTCATTTCAATAATGAGGATGGAATTATTTTCTGTGTGTTCGACGTTACTGTTTGTGATTCGCTTACCATTCTTTTCATTCCTTTCAAAGTTACACAAATTACTCACGCTTCTTGCAGTTTAGCTTCAAAATCCGAAATGTTTGATGTTACCTACGGTTAAGTCATACAATTTGACAGGTCGACGATTACGAACCATAAGTACTTGGTCACTAGTGTTGAATCTTAGTACATAGCTAGCTGCTATGTATACTCCATACGCACTTAGAAATAAGTTTCATGAATAAATATAAGGTAACAACGATCAGAAATTAAAAAGCGGCCATTTGAGATGAGTCAAGGATACAAGACACTAGGTAGTTTTTTTTTGATGACATCTTATGCAACTAGATTACAGGAACTGTAGTTCACAGAGTGTACAGGGTGTAGTTATTGGGTACCAGTGCTCACGAAATATACCAGCAAACAGCAATTGATATTTGCTAAAGCCATTCAGACCACTAGAAATAGGGTTATCTAAGGTATTTTGTGATCTACTGATTACCATTTGAGTGTATATCTCAATAAACTACAGAATGTGTGCGTCGGTGGCACAGCGGTTAGGACTCTCGCCAACCATGCACTTGGTCCGAGGTTCGATCCCCCGCCGACGCACACCTAATATCTATGGTCGGCCTGCTAAATTTGGGCTACCGATATCACATGCTGAAAATTTCATACTTGTACCAAAATAATGTGTGGAATCAAGCTATAATAAAATAGAAAAATGTTTTAGTAATTTTTGAACATTTCTAATACATTGAGAATAGATTTAGACAGATGACCTTTACAGGAAGCATGAATGTGCTTAAACACTATTATCATCAAACAGACATCGTAATGGTGGAAAAAGAGCTTCCTATAGGATACTGGTTTGATTTTCTCATTTTTATCATTAATACAGATGCTAAAATACACAAATTCTGTGACCATCCTTAATGGTTCATAATCCAAGTATGTAACAAAGTTGATTTATTCAACTTGTTACTTAAAAGCGTGGGAAGTGATAGTCGAGTATAGGCTATATTGGAAAGTTACAGTCATATGGATGTGCAAAGTTGTATAGTGACAATCATTTGTCCGAATACGTTATCCTAGTTAGAGAAGATATGTTTTCTCTTGTTACAAAAATAAAAAAAAGTTTCAGAAGTTTATTCCTCGTCAGTGAAAGTGAAACTTGGTCTGGAGTTCACAAGCAATTTCAGAGACTGGTTTACAGTAGTTGAATACACTTGATAAAAGGTTCAGCGAACGGTGCAGAAGAACCAAATGACACGTTTCTTGTCCTCATCTATAACCGTTTAGAAAACCAGTATTTTTAAACATATCGTTTATTAAAAATAGTCTGTCGGGAATCAATTTGAATATATATATATATGCAACTGTTTTTGAGAAATATTTCTTTGACTTATATTTGTTGACATTTAGTTCTTGGAAGTTATGTTTACTTACTGTTTTTTCCCACGCTTTAGGTAAAATGAGTACTGTAGCTACTCTTGGATGGGTGCTTTTATGGGATGTTGATACTGGCTTGTCTCAAATTGACAAATACCTTTACTCCGTCGAAGATCATACCCGAGCTGGTGGTCTATTGGGTTGTGGGGTTGTTAACTGTGGTGTCAAAAATGAATGCGATCCAGCATTAGCACTTCTTGGATCCTATGTCGACTCTGAAAAAGATGTACTTTCTCGTGCTTCAATTATTGGTTTGGGTGTGGCGTATGCTGGTTCATTGAAAGCAGAAGCTATAAGTACACTTGTACCTGTTATTCTGGATATGAATACAGCAAGACTTCAGCATGCCTGTTTGGCGGCTCTTTCTGTAGGCATGATTGCAGTTGGCTCACTTGATGGTACAGTCACTTCTACCATCATACAGAGTTTATTAGAAAGGCCTGCAATTCATTTGAGCAATGTGTTCAGCAAATTTATGGCACTAGGTTTAGGCTTGACTTGTTTAGGTAGACAGGAGGAAGTGGAAGTTATTCTTGCCTCATTAGAAGCTGTATCTGAACCAATGAAATCGATGGCCCACATGATATGTGACTTTTGTGCTTATGCAGGTAAGTAAATACGTCCATTAAGATTCTTTAAAATACTTCTCAATTTGAAAATATTTTATGTCCTGTATGTAATAGGTTAACTATCCAGAAAGTGAAGCGGTCAGGTGTACTGATTAATTCAATCATTTTTTGAACTCGCGTCAGTACTGATGAAGTAGCATTTCTTTTATCTGGAGAAAACAAGAGGCGTGGCAAAGGAAGGTTTATTTACAGTTTGATATACAGATATATAGGAAAATCACTTATACGATATATTAAGAAAATCGTCATTTGCACAGATCTTCCGTGTTGTGCTACTTCTGCGCTTCGTATTGTGTTTCTTTGTCTTCTTTCCGTATATGCCATGTTTTGTCGCAACACTGAATCGTTTGCTCTCTTTGACGTCAAACCTCTCTTTCTTGTGTTTGATATTTTTGTGCCGATGAATGTCTGTTCCTATCCTCCTGATAAACCTTGTTAGTAACACGCTACAATATGGTAATAATCAATGACCGGAGAATCTCAGTACTGGAATTTAGGAACATTCACAGTAGCGGATATACTCTTGCACCTTATTATAAAAATCGTGAGAATGGTTTTACTGTTGTTCATTTATCTCCTGTCACACATTTACAACAATCCACTGTAGTACTTTTGCATTTCATACGAAAATTGATGCTAGTTTGAATTGTACTAGAACTTCTGTCAAACCTTCAATGGTATCGTTTATTTTACATTCCTGTTCGATGTATAGCATAAAGCAGTGTTACATTTTTGGTGTAGTCAGCAACTAAAACAAAACAAACAAAACCACATCTATCTAGCCAAATTATTTTAGTAATTTACTTTCTTTTTTTAATGAAATTAAATGCGATGCTGTGGTAATGCTCATCTTTGGCGACAGATCATTCAAGTTTTTTTTTGATAAGTTAAATGGGTTTACAATTAATCATGTGTTGAATGTTCTGAATTCATTCACTTGTAATTTTAATAATCAATTATCTTAGGTTTAGTGGAATCTTCGTTAGAACGTTAGTATTGTTATCTGTGCCTATTAGTACTCGTTAATACAACGGTCTAAGTCGTGTTTCCTTATTTGCGCATTCATTCTAGCTCATTTTGTGTGTCCTTAATAGAAATAACTGATATTTTTGTAATTTCACCCTTCTTCACTTCATTTAGGTAAATCAGTCTCAATATTTGTTTGGGATAGTCTTAAAGAAAGAAAATTTTAGAAATGTTTGAATTACTGCTGTTATCATGCAGTTTTTTCATTCAGGTTTATTGCATCAAATGAACTCCATATTACTTTCTATATATTGCAGGTAGTGGTCATGTATTGAAAATTCAGAATTTGCTTCACATACTTTCTGAAAAGTATGAAGAGAAAGAAACTGGTGAAAATACTACATCAACTACTACCACTAAAACAAAAGAGAAGAAAGAAAAATCAAAGGATGCTCGTCGTGGAGGAACTCGAGGAAGGAGTCGTCGTAGTGGGGCAAACAGATCTGGTGCAACTAATGATCAAACCACTGAATCAAATAATGATGCTTCTGGTCAACCAACTGAAGAAAACAGTTCTCCAGAAGAGGCAGAAGCATCACAACCATCACCTATGGATACATCTGGCGTTGAAGATTCAACACCACAAGAGGAAAGTACATTTGACTTTCATGCTCATCAAGGTCTTGCTGTTTTGGGGGTTGCTATAATAGCTATGGGTGAAGAAATAGGTTTAGATATGGCCTTCCGAATGTTTGGTCACCTTGTAAGTTCCGTGTTGTTTTTGATTATTTTCACTTTAAATGGTTATCTCTAGGGTTGTTGGCTTCAGTCCCTTTTGTGTCAAAACCTAATCTTATATGGCTCAATAATGATTTCACGTTGCTGTATCAATCAATCATTAGGTATCTAAATCTCTAATCTTGTTAGTCATGCTTTAGTCAGTTAAAATGTGTAATGAAGATTTCTTTTGGATATTTCGGTTTATCAGCTTTTAGGTATCAATCAAAATAAATAAATGAATATAAGACATTCAAAATAAAACAAAAATTGGATATAATTTTAGGGTCTTTGCGTTTCTTATATGCATACTAAAGATTTTTATGTCGACATTAGTGAGCGAAAACAAGTTTGACATTTGCTTGGAAAATGAAGGAAGCTCATAAATGATAATGTAGACGTTCAATGAGATAACTGCAAATCACTTCTGCTTTTGTCACATCCAACCTTAGAAATGCTTAGTTTTTTATAAGTTCATCTGAATCTTCAGTCGCATTTCCTTGTCTATGCTAGAGAGCCAATATCTAAGGAGATTCTGAGGCACGGTGCTAATTTCACTCAAAACGTTCTGTCAAGGAGAATAACTATACAGGGTTGAATGTGTTAATTAATTTCATATCTTAGTGGATTGAATTCACAGTTTTGACGTAAAATTATTTAACAGTTGTGCAAAGAACTTTCCAAGAATAACTTGGAAGCATTTCAAGAAAAATTGGTAGTGACTTAAGATAGCATGATTCAATCAATTTAATTCCACAGACCACGAACCAATGATGTTTGTTAATGAGGTGTATGTGTTTTCTCGCTGAAGTTATATCTGTTGAGAGAATTTTTGAGTTGTGTTCAGTTAGTGCTGAAATGATTCTTTTATTTCTTAACTTGAACAAACAATAAATATTGTATATATAACATTTAACTTATTGAACTTAGTCAATTAAATTAATTTATATTATTGTATTCAGTTTTTGTTAATTTTGAGCATATTTCTCTTATCATTTAAAGCTTCGATTCGGTGAACCTCCAATTAAAAGAGCTGTACCGTTAGCACTCGCTTTATGCTATGTATCAAATCCTCAATTGAAAGTACTAGACACTTTAAGCAAGTTCAGTCATGACTCAGATGCAGAATTAGCCTATAATTCTATTCTAGCTATGGGGATTGTTGGTGCAGGTATGTTCTTTTCGTACTTTTAAAATGGTAGTTGTGTTTTTTTCTCTCGATATGAAAACCTCGATTGTATTTATTCGCATTTTTAAATTTAAGTAGTATTCTATTTAATGGACTTGTTTCTGATGATATTAGATGGTTGGAGGCAATCGGCTGGAAGCCTTGCTTGACCTAGGTTTCGTGCTAGTTGGCACCCACCAGTTAGCAAGGAGTATCTGCAACCTTGAAAGAACTCATGTCCCTTCTGAGATTCGAACCCGCGTCACCCAGTGCTGTAAACAGAGACGTTAACACTGAGCTATTCGGGCTCGCGATTGACCTCCTGTAGGACTGTAGTGGATATTTTGACTTGACACTAGTAACTAGTGTGATGTTTCTAGTCCTATCTTTGGTGCAGACTGAATTCTATCAGTCAGATTTGTAATGTGGCCACCATTCTAGGTAGCTTGTCATCACGACTTGTTTCTCTTTATTTTCATTTCCTTCTTTGTCGTGTAGTTATATTTTCAAAGAAAATGTACTTTGAAAGTTTTCCACCTTTTTATAGTTTGAAATTCATTCACAAGTTTTTATTTTTATCTTTTAAAATTTTATTTGCGTAATAATTTTCCTGTTCTACCAGAGTTTAATATGACTCTTATATCCCATCAATCACTTGAATATTTTAGAAGTAATTTATATATCATGATACAATTGTCTTTCTACTGTCCATAACTTTATATAACATAACTGACATTTTCGTGGTAGGTCGTGTGACATTATTATTCCCTTAGGTTCTGAGCAGGATATATAGCTTTAGACATATGGCATGAATATATATACTCTACTACCAATGTCTCCCTTTCTTTATCCTTAGCCATACTCAGTATTGAGGTAAAGAATTTTTTACGAGTTGATCACGGACTGATATCAGTTAGAGAACCATTGAAAACCAAACTATAGAAAATTATTCTGATGCTCGCTAGTGACTTGCTACAGGTTGGAGCTTCCTGCAGTTCTAGTGAGAAGTCGTGACCAGTGAGGTCCAATTAGAAGTCACGTGTGGATTTCCACCAACGACAATAGTTGGGGTCGCGCTAAAATCACGAATTGGTAGAAGTTAGAATTCATGAGCCATTGAATCGGGTCCCAGTGGCTGAATGGTATACGAGCTTGCCTTGTAACCGGAAGGTCCTGGGTTCGAATCCCAGTGGGTGCGTACTGCCGATGATTCCCAAACTAGGACGAAACAGCAGCTGTCCAGTACTCCCTGGTTTTCAATGGTTCTCTAACTGATATCAGTCCGTGATCAACTCGTAAAAACATAACTAATCCTTACAAACCAAACTATAGTAAAGAATTTTGTAATTCACTACGTTGGCTGATAAATTCTTCTTGGTTGTTTACATAATTGACTAGAAATGTGTGGTATGCAGGTGATTTCAGATGTCAGTGTTTCCTAGAGGATAATATGATTTTCACTTCTCATGAAACGGAATTCCCGATTCTCTGTTTGTTTTCTGCTTTGAACTGTGTACCTCACTTTAATAATCAAGCTTTATTTCAGACAATATGCTAACACAGTAGTACAGAAATTTTCAACGTATTTAGTTCCAAAATATTTCATCTTTACGTGTAAAGTAATGATATGAAGTATATCATGTGACATAGTGCCGTTGTAAATGAAGTGAGAACCAATTCTTTATATGTTTTCTTTATTTCCTTCAAGAGTTACACAGCATTTTATTAAAAGCTAATTAAATATTTGCGCAAGTGCATGTAGCAACCATTTGCTGTACTTGCATAATTAAAACAATCAGAAATGAAGAAGGATCTAAGCATTTTGATGCATGGAAATTCTGGTGCCCCGGTGCTTTAAACAGGCCGCTTATAGTTAACATAATGCCCCGAATTTATTTTTAAATGAGATATTATTGTGACGTTCTTCTAATGTAACTCATATCATTTTTTTCCAGGGACGAATAATGCACGCCTAGCTGCAATGTTACGTCAGCTCGCTGTATATCATAGTCGTGATCCACACAGTCTCTTTTTAGTTCGACTAGCGCAAGGTTTAACACATCTGGGAAAAGGAACACTCACATTAAGTCCATGGCATTCTGATCGATTTCTTTGTCGTCCTGTTGGTTTGGCTGGCCTCCTTACTCTACTGACTTGTTGCCTTAATATGAAGGAAACCTTTATGAATAAACATGATTACCTAATATTTTACATCACACCAGCAATTCAACCACGTCTCTTAATGACTTTTGATGAAGACCTGAAACCCTTACTTGTTACTGTTCGCGTTGGTCAAGCTGTCGATGTTGTTGGACAAGCTGGAAGACCAAAAACAATTACGGGATTTCAAACACATACAACTCCGGTTTTACTGTCTCATGGTGAACGTGCAGAATTGGCAACTGATGAATATTTGCCAATAACACAACTCCCCTTAGAAGGCTTTATACTGCTTCGAAAGAATCCTGAATACGAAGAAACAAGTAAATGATTCTACATGTATCTGTAGTTGTTACACTGCAGTGTAAAGAAGAAATGCATTGTAGTTACGACTCATTTCTTTATGACTATTTTTTCCAAAATAAAGTTTTCGAACTTATCTGTACTTTTCTTCTAAATAACGTCTTTATTTTAAAGTTTGCATTTTAGTGCTATATGAAACAGTATTAGTCCGTATCCTTATCTTTAAACATGGTATCAGGGGGTAGCAGCACGATGTCACTATTAGGATTGTTTATGCGTTGCAACGTATCATATTAGGTTTTTATTTTCTAATGTCGTTAAATTCTACTTTTGCTAACAGATATTGCTAGAGTAATCTCTTCTCACGTGTGAATTTATTAAAGCATAACATACTCCATAGGTCCACCAAATGGATTATGTTATAAGAGAATATATTCCCTCGAGAAGCGATGCAACACCTGTACTGTCTGTCAAGTGTGATATGATAGATGAAAGTTAATATGATATATCTGCCTGAACCCTGCCTTGTGAGGTCATATTGTAACGGCAGAAGACAAGAAACGCGGTAAAGGAAAATTTATTTACAATTGGATATACAGATATAGGAAAATCACGTATACGATATATTAAAAAAATCGTCATTTGCACAGATCTTCCGTGTTGTGCTACTTCTGCGCTTCGTATTGTGTTTCTTTGTCTTCTTTCCGTATATGCCATGTTTTGTCGCAACACTGAATCGTTTGCTCTCTTTGACGTCAAACCTCTCTTTCTTGTGTTTGCTATTTTTGTGCCGATGAATGTCTGTTCCTATCCTCCTGATAAACCTTGTTAGCAGCACATGCCGTAATAATAATAAATTCTTTACTCTAAACAGTTTTTAAAATGTACAGAATTTTTAGAAGAGTTTATTGCATGATACTTCCCCTTCGTACAATATCTTCAAGTAAAATATTAATTTACAAGATATCCTGTGACATAATGGTCTCTGAGCTGAAGCACAAACCATTCCACTATGATATATATATCTGCTTTGTCTCCTTCAAGAAGTTCACGGTGTCTAATTGAAAGCCAATTGTAAGATGTTCATAAGTACATTTTGAGACTCAAGGACATAACTAAATAGCAGTTATCTTATGTATTGCAACTCGTTTTCACCAATGATCAGACCATTCCTCAAGTTTAGTAGGAAATTGCGAATCAGAGGACAGAGGCAAAAACGGCTTACGGGAAGGCTGAGCACTTCAAAGTCACTCGTCATATTGTGATTGGTAAGTTTTCCTATACGTAAACGTTGCGGTCAACACGTAGTGCACTTTGCTGAGGCGGATTTTTAAGTAGTAGTAATAAAAGCAGATACGTATTATATTTTTCAGCTGAAGAGAACAAATTAATATGTGTATAAATTCCACGGGTGTGATATCCATTGCATTCACTTACAAAACCAGTATTATTGGATAACTTAGTTAAAGAAGCATAAAGTTTAGAGATATGGTCTTTTTCAGTTGCTTGTGACGGATCAATGAGAGAGGCAGTTGTGTAATATTTGCTTTTTTCAGAATAGAAATGCAATAGATATTTCAGAAAGTTCTAAGATTCTTCAAGTTTATCATGGAATGTATGGATGACTAATCTATAGAATATCATTTCTATGATTGTTCTCTCACTTGTTCCCATAATTAGTGTGCCTAAGATAAGGGGTTGTTCACCAGAAGTAGAGGTAAGATCAATTCACTTGATATATATACAACCTCAGATATTCTGCAATAAAGCCGAAGGTAGTTGAGGGAATACAGTCTCAATCTTTACGTGAAAACATCATATCCAGTTTCTCCTGGTGGCGGTGAAAACTTAAAAGACTGGTCCAACACCACTACCAACTGAGGGGAATTGATCCAGATCTTGTGGATAGAATGATTATTAGGCTTTATGATGACTATAACGCAGCTATAAGCAATTTACAACTGTGATTTTTTCACTGGATTTTCATAAACTCATTTTAATATAGATATACATCCTTTCATACTAAATTATTTTTAACTTGATTGGTTATTGTTTCGTGGTAAATATATGCAATTATGTCGACCATCTGTATCTCGTTTATGCATCATTTCGAGGACATCGGATAGCCAAGGAGAATGGTAGGCAACGTAGTGATACTTATGTGAAATACGTAAAAGTCAGAAACCGTTATTATTTCCTCAATGCGTCATCAAGCTTTGCGTGAAATGCTTCAGTTAAGTTTAATTCGGTTGCAAATAACATTAGTATTCTCTGGCGTTAAGAAGAAAATAGCCGTTTAACATGTGTTTGTGATGGAATAACGAAACGTAACTTAGCGAACGTAGGTCGTACACATACACCACTTGTCGTGTTACAATTGGCGTCGCTGCCTCCGAACAATGAAGATCCCATGGCCGGCTGCGTTTGAAGGAGACTTCTTACGTGAATTTGAGGTCGTTGCTGAGTTGGTGGTTTTCAAGGAGCAGGCAGCGAAGACGGTTGCACTGGAAACGCTGGCGAGGGGCCGAGCAAATGCAGCATATGATAGCGTAGAGGGGTCAGGTGGCACAGCGTCTTTGAAGACGTTTGTTGAAAGATTGGTGTCGATGTTTGACAGCGCAAAAGACAGACAGCTAGCAATGTGGTGGTTCAGTTCCACGAAGCTGGGACTTGATGGAGACCCTTCAGTGTTGGCGGCATAATTGACGAATCCACTACGACGTACAACTCCCACTTTGGATGACGAATCAGAGGCGCAGTTATTGACTTCCTAGTTCGTCGAGTGTTCCAGATCACGTTTCTCAGTGATTACAACTGGGTAACGCTGTGCAGCCAATGAACATCAGTGAACTGGCAAAGGTGACCAGACAACTGCCAAGCACAACGGTAGCCACGATAGAGCCACCACAGTCGAACGAATGCGGGCAGAAAATTGAAGCGTTGCAGTAAGAAATGACGGCGTTAATGATGAGTGACAAGAGAGACTGATGTTTTGAATGTGGTAAGCCAGGACACTGGATGAGATACAGCCCAGAAAGATGGAAAAGAAAAGATTTCAGACGGTATATTGTGCTCAAGTTTTATACCTATAGTATAATGTGTGTTCTTTCATATAGAACTAGACGTGGTGGGGGCAATTGAGACAAGGGCTATGTATTCCAAGTTGCGAGTGTGTAATCGAGAAGTAATACGGTTGTTTCTATAATCGACAAGAACTCATGTAGGAGTGTCAATCCATATTCATTGACACTACAAACGGTATGTGGACACGTGTTACGCAACTGTAGAGTCGTTGTTGGCAGCTGCAAAGTAACGTTCCCCTTCATTGTTTTACCCGAATTACAGCGGACAATACTTGGGGCGGATTTTCTGCGGGAGGTTGGTGAGGTAATCGACACGCAAGCGAGGGTTATGAGCACGAAATACGGACGTATCAGCATGTATGAGACCAGCGAGATAGCAGAGGTTAAGCTGTTGAGTGTGCACAATATAACAGAGTTAATTAATAAATACGATCATCTGTTCACTGTAGATGGGGACTCGTACGGTTATTGCGATAAGGTGAGTCATGAAATTCCGTTAAATAGCTTAAGGTAATGTCGTTTACGGTGCAAAAAGTCGCATGTCATTTGGAAGTTGAGCAACAAAGGCGGGAGATTTGAGAGGATGATATTACTGAAGATGCCGATGGCCCGTACAACTCTCCTTTTCTGCCAGTAAAAAAGCGCGTGAAAATTATGGATTCAGCTTTGATTTTTGGCAGTTAAAGAGCATGAGAGAGTTGAGATGGTGTACCATGCCAACTGTAGTAAAAAGTTCAGACCTCATACAAGGCATAAATTTGTTTTCGGTTCTCGATCACCGCTCGGGATACTGGCAGATACCGATAAAATGAGGTGATAGAGATAAGGCGGCATTCACCCTGAGCCAGGCACAATATCGGTTTAAACGCATGTCGTTTGGATTAGCAGGTGCACCGTTTACGTTCAGACGATTGAGGATGCTGTTACTTAAGAACTCGAAAAATGTTGAAGTGTACGGTGATGATCTCGTCACATGTAGTCAAAACGAAAGTGACCATGTGAACCATTTGGAAGCCGTGCTGCAACGCGCTGATGAGTTTGGATTGCGTGTCAACAAAACTGAGTCCCATATAACCAAAAAGGAATGTTACTCTCTCCGAACATAAAGTGGGAAATGGTGAGAATAAATCACTACCGGAGAAAATCTTGACGATAAAGAAGGTTCCGACCTCAAGTTGAGAGAGAAAATTACAACGATTCTCGGGCAGACGAGCGTTTTATAGTCAGTATATGAAGAATTTCAATGAGATAGCAACCCCTCTGTTCAGGCTACTAAGTGAGCCGAAGTTAGTTTGGTCAGGAGAGTCGCAGAAGACATTCAACAGGATGAAGTTTCAGTAGCAGTGGTGATTATTTTTACAGGATGGGGTTGCTAGCGTCATGCCCAACCTTCCCCTTTAACCAGTCGTACTACTGGCTTAGCGAGGTAAAGGAGTGCGTCTGCCAGGGATCGAACCTCAGACCACCTGCGTGACCGGTGTGCACTCTACCACTGTGCCACCGATGCACGCATATCACACAGTGAGACAGTATTACTAACTGAATATATCTAATAAACAAACTAATATGAGATCAATTACTACCACAGTGCCCAAGTTTCACACATATATTGAAGTAGGGAATACCTAGTCAAACAAACAGAAGTGCATTCACTATTCAGTAGATCAGCAAAGCCTTACAAATCATAAAGAACATATGGTTTCCAGTTGGTAACTAGTCCTATCATTCTGAACTCCTCAATTTCTCACTACATTTGAGTGGGCATAGAATCCCATTTTGTGGAGACGCTGCATAGAAAGTTGTAGTCCTTACCTTGGTACTTATCATGTCCTTCGGGGTTGGTCAATCATTGACCGCATACTGAGTGATCCAAACGACTTGAGCACCTCCTGTGGGGTCTTGTCGAAATACCGTTGAACGTTTGGGGAGGGCGTTAGCGGAAACATCCAAAACACTGGCCTTTTTCAGGGAGTTAGGAATAGAGGGATTTGTCCTTAATACCAGTTATGGAACATTTCTGTTTGATTACGAATAGCCTTTGACTTTCTCTTCTTAGTCATCATTTTCAATCGTAAAACTAGTATCCACTAAGCGATTTTTTATAACGTTAGAAATAATACCACTGGAAAATGAGATGACTCCAGTGGAATCAAACGAGCGACTACGATACCAAAAATATCCCACCTACTGTTAATTACTTCGCGGCTGTGTATTATTTTTCTAACTCTAGCTTCATTAGTTCTGCAGATTTCTATCCTTTCTGTTCTGTGCGTATCTGTGCCCCATCGCTTTACTCGACTTACACTCAATCCTTTGGCCTCACCTTTAGTTTTTTATACCATTCGTGGAAAATGAGTATACAGAATTGTTAGTCTTCTGCTTTCATTACTCAGGATTGGGTTGCTGCCTTCACTATTTGAGCACGCTGGCTAAGATTAGGACACGTGTTCAGGCATTCTCACAATTCGGCACTCTTTCTTGTTACGTCCGACTGTTCATGCACAACCACTTGTTAGCTAAGCAAAAATCACTGCCTAACAGTACAACACTGAAGTCTAAGTAGTACTTCGATGATCAAACTGTTGTTATGTCTGGGTTTACTGACTGTTTTACAGTCTACGTCGAATAATGACACATCACGCAATATCATATCAGATTATCATGTGTTTTCGTTTGAAACTTCAGGTATCTACCCATTCACTCTGTTACCTTGTTGTGCTGCTATATTTTGACTACACTAGCGTACACGTATATCTTAGTACTTCTTCGCGTTTGTAATTGTGTGCTAACGTTGTGATTACTCGACATCCACAACGTAATTCAAAAGGCACTTGCGAAGGAATACGATAGTGTATTATTGCAGCAATCCAAATTCAAAAATCGAGCGAGTACAAAAAGTATCAATTGTTAACATGCAAGATTTAGAGTAATAAACAAATCAAAGTACAATTATACAGTGAAAGTATAGTACGATTATGAGTAATAAAATGGGTCACTACAACCTTTCTGCTCGATTAGTGGCACTTTTCCTAGGGCTTTTACAAGACCTAATAGAGCCAGTGTTAGCTTACAAACAAATTCTTTTCAAAATTAGTTTCTCTCTTCTCTATGCATCTGACGGAAACTCAAAAATCAAAGGGATAGATACTATCAGTATCTACCAGAAATCTAAAACCGTTCGGAAACGATAACAAGGAAATACTAAGAAATTCTGACGCTAGTCCGAATTATATTGGATATTGGATATGCACCGCACAACATTCAAATTGGTTTGCCTTGAGCTACACAACCTTGACGTGAAGGTGCAGTCGTATCCTTCTGGATGGCAAATAGCAAGCAGACTGGTATCGGTGATGGTATCGTTGATTGTGTCGTTATAAATAAAACTGTACAACACATACTGCCGGAAATTATATCGTCAATTACAAATGAGATCAAAGTATTTAGTCATTACCTGGTAAGCTAATAACCCAAATAAATAATTTTGAGGCAGTTAATAAATAAATTTAGGCGAAATTGCCTGAAATACACGGAAATTGTCATTTTCGTTTATTTCCGTGGGTTATTTCAACAGCAATAAGGCATCAGTGGAAAACAAAAGATTAATACTCTTGATTGTTAAGTGAAGAAAGTGCTGGGTCTTCATCATCCCTGACTAGCCACTTTGAAGAGTTTGAGGGGTAATTTGGAGCATTTGGGACATTTTAGCAGATATTCAGTCTCCATCAAAAGTGCTGTTATTTTGATGCTTCCTTATATTTAGCTAGCATGGAATCACCCCAAAGTATTTATTTAGCCTTTCGTTGTAATATGTGAGACTGGCCACCTTCCATCATTTTCTTTTTGTAGTTTATATTTGGGCATTTGTGGTCAACAGGCCAGATATTGTATACAATATGTATCTGGTATCTTTTCACCTACCTGACCGGTGAAGATATCTTTAAAGTCTCAGGGATGTGATGGCACTTCATATCATTATGTTTCTAACTACATGCAGCTATGTAATAAAGCGGTTATCTTCGCTTTAGTGATGAGTTGTACAATTATTGTCATATGATTGTTAGGTGGACGTTCAAATCTGTTAATTTATCCAGACTGAAGTCCTTTCCCTTATTAACATTTTTCCCATGTATTCAGATGATTTCATGTTATTGGGCGGCAGTGTAATGTCTGTGTTGTTTTCTAAGTATTAGAAAAACACCTCCAAATAGTTCGTCTTCGCAAATAGATCTTAACGCTACTTACTATTTTAATCAATGTGGGTATTTACAATTTTTCAGTTTCACGGATGATCAGAGGATGCATGATTTCCACTCTTATTTCCTGTACATTAAGGCGATTTTTGGGTTGTAGCTTCTGTTTTGCCTTGGGTATGTTTGCAGATGTGATATATTTCGTCACAGATAAAGTTTCTGAAATAATCGCGTTTAATAGTAAATTTTAAAACAGTTCGACTGCATGACTACTAGAGAGAAAAGAACAAAGAGTTAAGCAAAGGTATCTTTTCAGCGATTTCATCCTCAAGAGCTGTAAATTGCATTCATATACATAAGTTTACATAGCTACAATTATTATTAAATTTCTCATAGTAACGAAGAAGATTAAAGGTGGTAATAATTTTCAATTTGATATGAAAGTTCGAAGGTGTGAATATGGATTACGAAGGACTTAGGAACGAAATTGCTCAAGATTAAAAAATGGTTTTTGATGAACACAGGTGTGAATGGGATGTGTATAGAAGCAAATTGAAATAATGGTTTTTCTATAACTGAAATAAGGGGAAAAACCAAGGGGATGAGAAAACAAAAAAAAGCGGAAACTAGGTGGGTAAAGCCGAATTTGATCCAGGGTAAATGTTGAGGTTGGACTAGTATGTTTCGAACACATTGCTCTGGCTTTTCGATGCGTATGGTGAGGGCGTTTGCAGTACAAAATACGCAACTATTTACCGTCGTGGTATATAAGTACTTTTTCTTTGACAGCTAGTTTGAAAGATTATAAAGAAATCTCATACTTGCGTAGCAATTTAGTGTGGTACACCTAGAAATTGAGGCACTTCGCTTATAAACCACACTTGTTCCGCTAAAGCTCTTTTTATTTCCTAGTTATTTTATGTTTGGTGTTTGAATTAGTTGCACTTCACTTGGTCTGAACCATTTCATTTTCAAAAAGGGTAAGTGTAGTTTGGGGTTATGACAAAAAAATTAGCTCAACTAGGCAACTTACCTTCACGATTTTGACTAATTAGGAGTAAAATGTCGTAAGGAAACCTTTTTCAATATTATTCTCGTGTAGGGTTGTAGTTGTATGTATTTTGATTGCTTATAAATACATAGAAACTAAATTAACGGAAAAAACTGCTTTTTGGAAAACGCAATTCCTTTAGCTTAGAAAATTCATTTAGCCATCAATGAACATCAAGACTATATAGGAATTCATGTCACAATGGAGTTATTTCATAATCAAATAAATATTTGCATAACATTCATGACGCAGTGGGTTTTATTACACAGAAGTAAAAGGTTTTTTCTTAATTACTTTAGAAAGACTTATCTGGTGACCGTGTGGTTGCTACTTGCCTGGATCGGCAAATACGCAGACCTTTCTTGAAGCTTTCTGATGGAGAGGTAAATTTCTTACATACTTCCTCAGTGGGTTTTAGTCACCTCCCTGTAACGCAGATACAGTTGTCAGAACTCAAAGAAAAGAATGGAACTTAAGTGATATACGAGCTATATGCGGAAAAAAGTGTAAGTACTTCAATCTCATACTCCGAACGTTTACATATATGTATATATATCCCGTTACACTGCATTGTAAATTATCATTCCAATAGCTAATGGCAAGTCAGTTTTTGTGTTCTGATTCAGATATAACTTGGTTTAATCCTATTTTAAGTGGTATATTATTTATTATACGTGAAAAATTCAGTCTGTGCAGCTTAAAAGCTTCGCATTTAATAGTTTTACCTCATAAAACCAGTCTTTGTAAATACCTTTCACTGGGGTCATGTAGTGATACGGTAATGATAAACCTTGGTATACTTATTTAGGTTTTACAAATTGTCTTCTGGTAATTCCTCAATACTTGGGTTGAAACAGATGCGGGGAGATTCAAACTCGAGGTTGGCATATTGAATGTTGGAAGCCTAAGTCAATGAACCTATTCTTTATAGTGACAACCGACTACCAGTAATTATTAAGTCAGCAGATGACATTGTGACTTAATATTTATGTAACCAGTAAGCCAGACTTCCGACCCTCATGTACATTAAACGTCAAATCAGTAGATTTTTATTGGTACATGCGAATCAGTCAAAAAATAGTTTCCACATTCTTCAACTATAAAGACCACAGATATATACATATGTTTAATTTTAACATACGGTAAAGTCACTTTCCGTTTATTTAGTTATTACCCGACCTGGAGTCTTTTATTTTATGTGAATCACGGGCTTGCACTTATAAACATGATTAATGTTGTGTGAAACAGTGCTTTGTTTTTGCGTTGCGTCAGTTATAAATGTATTGAACTGATTGACTTCAACAAAGGATTTAGCACAGAAGTGCACCATGTCGAGTTACCAGACTCCATGCAGCACACTAAAACAAAAGAGAAAAAAGAAGCTCAAATGAAGCATAATAAGCAGAAATAGGAAGAAGAAAGGAGAGTTACATGGAAAAATATGACAGTTTAATGGATATAGGTCATAAAAAGTGAATGTACATGTACCGCTGAAAGATTTTGAGCCCCATCTCCGAAAGTCTCCGGCCATTGGTTCTTAACATCTCGAGGACACCAACCAGGTAGCGTGACCTCCCTACGTAGCTCAAGCCGTCTGTTAAATACTTCGTGGATTGATTCTAGGTTTCGGTTTGACCACGCCTGACTGTTTTTCAACCTAATCTAATGCTACCTAACACTACTCGTCGTGAAAGGCGATGGTTAGGCGTGTGCAGCACGTCTTCTAACCCTCTCATTCGGTGTAGCTCCACAACCTTATCAATTGACTTTCCCTCCTTACCTAACACTTTACGCCTGACCTCAATACTACTCTTCATGGTACACTAATTAATATAAGAGAGAACGCAAACATTTGTGGTCAAAGACAGCTGAACTTTTCATATCTTCCACTTCCAGTAACCGTGCCTCACAGCCATAAAGGAGGACGAAGCGAACCGCTGAACAGTACACAACTCCTTTAATCGACAGCTGCATATTACGTTTACTCGAGAGATGATGTCAGTTGGAAAATGCCATACGAACCTTTTGTATCCATTCTGAGATTTCGTCAGCAATCAGTCCATTGGGGCTGGTGGAACTTCCCAAATAAGTGAAGTGGTTAGCACTGTCAATTCACTAACTATCTTTAATCTAAAAATCGGTCCAGTCCAGTCTTGTATTATCATCTTACATTTAACAGCAGCGAATCGGATGTCAAATATTCAAAGATTGCTGCTTAGGGTGCTCAGAAGACTGCATTTTACCAGCATCTTCACCTAGGAGGACATTATTATCCGCATACTCTGAGTCGACAAGACTGCTTTCTGGTGAAAGCTTAATCCCTAAGTCACTAAAGTTATTTAGGGTCAATTCTATTAGTACATCTATGATGAAAAGTGGGGACGTTGTGTGTCCCAGATGAACACCACTGGTTGTCATGACTTTTAATGACAGCTTCCATAAGCGCTTACATGGCTGCAAGAGTTAATGTTGAGCACCCTGATTACTGCGATATATTTCCTTGGCACTCGCTCCACGGCTAAACATAACCACAGCACCTTACAGTAAATGGAGTCTAATTTTGCTTTCAGGTCAAGAAATATAGCAATTGTTGAATGCCAATAAGTATACCTGTCCTAGAATCTGTTGAAGAGTGAAGAAATGATCAATACACCATCTTTATGGTCTACAGCCTGCCTAGTTTTCACCGGTTTGTTTCTGCTGAGCACCATTAAGTATGCGCTCGATATTTGAACCTAGAATTTGAGATACTATATTAGTCAAGTTTATCCCGCTGTGATTAGAAACTGGGTTAATCAATGATTTACACCAGTCTAACGGAGCTACTTTTGATTCCTAGATATTACCTAATACCATAGTCAATCCAGACAGCCATTTGTCACAACTGTCCTTAAACACCTTTGGAGTTATTCCATCGGGGTCTGCTGCTTTGCCTCGTTTGAGATTAGAGATAGCCTTTGTAACCTCAGTTACGAATGGAGCACATATGACTACATCACATTCAGGTGGGTGTTGGATGTCAGGCAAATTGAACTTGGTATAGATGTATTCAGCCATTGAATAGAGTATAAGTTATGTGTTAAACAAAGTTCAGCATGATTTGAGCACACTTCTAAGGCGTCTTGGAGACATGTGATGTAAGGACTGAAATCTCAAGCAACTGGCTAAGTATGTTGCTTTCTTGATAAACACTCATGATAAGATGTTCAGTTTTGTCTACCACTAACCTGTTCCCAGCGCCCTTATTCCAATAACTAGCACTGTCAACAAATGACAAGAATTTCATTACATGTAAACTTGGTATTTTATTCATGCATGCAGCAAATGCAACATTCTTCACATGTGTATTATCCTTATCTTTTTCATTCACTTGGCAACGCATAGTATTCTGTAAAGAGTAATTTTGACTGAATTATCATGCATAGTCTTGGATTCACAAATCCCAATTTACTATTAGTTTGATGAATCTATTAACACAGTCGCAAAAAAAAACAGAGTGAACATTCGACATTTTCACCACCGTGAAAAGAAATGACGTAGTTATAAAAAGATTTATATACTGTTTGATTTTTAGTTTGAAGTTGTTAATACTAGTCTGCATAATTCAAATTGTATTTTAGTATTGATTTCCCCAATTTGTTCACTCAAGGGTTGAAAAAGGAGCTAGAATGTTTGATCAAAGCAGTTTGTACTTGTGCTCGAAATCGTCAAATCCAAGCTTTAGAAGAAAAAGAACGCACTTTACTAAACAAGATTTTGAAATCCAAAAGTCAATCACAATCAGAAAAAACTTGTGCAGAAGATTCATGTTCATCTGCAGAATCATGCAACTCAGAGTTACAGGTTTGTCAATCGAAACTCAGTCAAATACACCATATGTCTGCAACACCTCCAAAAGCCTTAGTTTTAAAAATAGCCAACAAGGTATTAACTGAATCTGATGAATGTGCATCTGGAGATATTTTACGAAGCAAAAGAGTGTATAATTTTCATGCAGATAGTTTCCAAGGACAGTCTTCTAAAAATTGGTGTGATTTGCTTTCATCAGCTGATAGTATTATTCCACTATCTGACTGGAGTGAGATATCAAATCTGGAGGCAAGTTCTTAGTTGACTTCCGATTATCATCCTTTATTTATGTACAACAGTATAGTTGAAGCGTAATAATCATCAAATATCAATAAGTTTTCCTTACATAAACATTCTATATCTATACACATTTACTTGTAAATAACTTCACAACTTAACAGATTGTCCAAGTTCGTGATAAATTAGTTATACGAGTTACTAAACTTTCAAACTGGTAAAATTGTGGCGACCAACTGGAATTATTATTATGGTGGCATGACTGATGACACTCAAGTGGGTTAATACAGCAGACCTTGGCCTATTTTTGATTTTACTTATCTCCATGTGTTTTAAGCATTAGTCTGATCGAATAGGATAAGTAATCTTGGAATCACAATTGTTTTGTAAAAAATAGTAGTTCGTGGTTATTCTACAGCTAATTTTCATTTGCATGGATGTATCTTAGTCAACTATATCTGCTAGCTAGAATTGTGGCTAGATTTGAAGAGGTTTCACATCTGCGTGCCTAGATCCAATCAGCTTAATTACTTACCTACTATTGAAAAGAAATTATTAATTTTGTTCATTTCCGTGTTATATTTGTAAAGGTTAATATATTTCTTATTTTAGTATAACCTTAGCTAAATATACTTTCAATATCATCATCTGATAAGGTAACCATTTCTTTTTCAGCTATGAAAACAGTACTTCAGATTACAAAATAAACAGTTATGTATTATCAAGTATTGGTTTGCAGGGATTTGATTGATTGACATCATTCAGAGAACCATTGAAAAACCAGAGAGTACTGGACAGTTTTATCGTCCTGGTTTAGTAGGACTCTTCAGTTGTACGCACATGGGGGTTCGAACCCAGAATTCCCATGCCCATGAATTCCAACTTCTGCCAATTAGTGATAAACACAACTGTAAATCTTCAAACCCTGTGTTCCAATTGGGATGCAAGGAATAAAAAAAATAATAATAAAATATGAACTTTGTCATGATGAAACAAACTTAAATATAATTGATTATATATTTAAAAAAAAATCTTATCAATTCTGATTGTAGGGTAAAACTTCTGTAAGTGATGTGAATGCTCGACTATTATGGATTCACCGTTTACAACCTAATATCAATCGTTCAAAATGGTCGGATGAAGAAGACAAAAGATTGACTGAGCTTGTACAAGAGTATGGTGAATATGGTCGTTGGGATGAGATATGCAAAGCTTTAAATACCAAACGTACAACATTTGCATGCATTCAACGTTGGCAGACTGTACTAAATCCTAATTTTATTCTGGTAATTATGCTCATCTGTGAAATAAACTTTGTTGATTATTACCTACATGTAATGTTAAGTGGACTTGTCGAAGTGTTCTACACACTGATTAGGCAAAATACGTCTACCAAATAGTAGAAGTATAATGTGCATATATTTTCGGTATGGTGCGGCTTTGTCTTACGTATAGTACTTCTTTGTCTGCCTGTTGTGCTTTTCATGTTGTTTCTCAAGTATCGTTCATTAAGTCCATCTCTCCACTATTCGATATTCTTGACGCTAATATACATATTTATGTGTGCATTTACACACTACTTATCAATCTCGTGAGTAGCGCACACCACAGTAGGAATGCCAAACAAAAGTGTATAAAATACAATTCTAACGAGGAACATGTATATAAGTCGCTTTAAATACCATATACACCTTACTTTTCATTCCAGTATACTTGTATTTCTCAGGTAAAACCCTCATGTTAAAAAAAGTCAAAATTACACAGATAGTAAGGGGTGAATGTCACTATATTCCTATGATGTTGACTTTTATAAAACATGTATATGAGTAATGTGCCAGGTTTTCATTAAAAGAAATGCAGTTTAAGTAGCACATTTAATTTTTCATTGCGCTTGTTTATTACGATTATCATTACTTTTTTTTACAGTACCGCCCATGGTCCACTTCAGAAGATACTGCACTGATGGATATCTTGAAAAATCTGCTTAATTCTTATTCCCCTGGTTTAATGGATTGGGATATTGTTTCTGCTTATCATCCAACTCGATCAGCTTACGAATGTCGTTCAAGAGCGCCTGAGATTTGCTCAGCGTTTAAGAATATTGTTCCTAAGCTACGAGGTGTTGTGGAAAGAGATGTCTCTGTTAACTCAGAAATCAAAAATCAAGTTTACATTTCATCTGGTCCATTTTCCCTTGAAGAAGATTTACAACTTTTGATGGCTGTTCAACGGTATGGAACTGCTGGTGGACGTATTGGACATGGTGGAGGTACTGGAGTAGGCTCTTGGGCTCTGGTTACTACTGCCCTACCAGGTCGAAGTGCATCATCTTGCAGAAAAAGATACCTAGAACTGTGTGAACAATTTCAGCCCTGGACATGTTATGAAGACCATAAATTATATAATCTTGTTCTTAATTACGGACCATATGTCCCTATAGGATTGTGGAACACATGTCCAAGCCTGCGTAAGTATTTAACTACTAACCTTGTTAATTTAAATATTCTTTATCTGATGATAATCAGACAGCAGTTCAATCACATTTTGGGTAGCTTTTCAAAAGGCTTTATAACTCGGTCGGTTGGTCGGTTTTCGACATAGAACTTTGCACATATGTGCGGCAGTTCAAGTCGCCACACTCCATGTAGCACACAAAGCAAGAGAAGAAAGTAGAAAAGCTGCATAATATAGACAGTAAACAGAGGTGTGAGACAAAGGAATAGTAATAACGGAGAACAAAACAGTTTAATTGGAAATCATAAGTCACAAGGAGTGGATGCATCTGCGCCACTGAGAACGATTTTGAGCCATGTCACCAATTGTTTTCAACCATTGGTTTTTACCGTCCCGAGGACCCCAACCAGGAAGTCTACATCTTCCTACGTGGCTTAGACTAACTGTCGTTGATTTCATTGACTGGTGCCAAGTTTTCGTTTGACCGCCGCTAGCCCTTTTCCAGCCTGACCCTATATCAGCTAACATTGCCCGTCGAGGAAGGCGATGACTAGGCATACGTAATACATGTCCTAACCATCTCAGTCGATGTAATTTCACAGTTTCGTCGGTTGATTTCCCCGCCTTACCTAGCACTCGACGCCTAACCTGAATATTGCTCACCTTAATATACCACTTCACGCGGGAGATAGAACGCAGACATCTATGATCGAACACATAAGAAATTCTCAGCGTAGACATTTAACGCCGTTGTAGTTAGTAGAATTGGAATTCAATTGTATCATTTAGTGGATAATAACAACGATGATATTAATAACTCCAAAGCCATCATACAAGTGTTTATATTATTGGGATAGTTAATCAATGTAGTTTATGTGGAAATCGTTTATTTCAACAGAAGTGGAGTAGAAGAAAACTATTGTTTCCGTGGCGTCGATAGTTCAGCGGTGGAACGCTTGCCAAACCAGGTGTGTGGTCCGGGGTTCTATCCTCACTCCTAAACCTCGCTAAACGGGTAGTAAGACCGGAGGAAGAGGCAAGGTTTTACATGAGGCTATAGCAACCCCACTCATAAAAATAAAAATTGTCAAAGCTCTAAGCTTGTAGCCTTATATTCCATTCGGAACGCAAACAAAAAATAAATGGAAATCTAATCTGACTCATAAAGTAAAGGTGACAAAAAGCGAAAGTTCTCAGCAAATGGTTTTCTACACACTTACGCGAGATTGGAAGATTTTGACGGCAGTTGTCTTAGTTATGTGTAACTAACGGAGGTGTACAAACTCATAGAATTTATATGACTGTTTGCATAAAATGGTAAAACCTGAATTTTCAACAATTCGGTCGTCTGTATTCGTTTTGATAGGCCAGTAAAGAAGTCTATAGTCATATATTTACGAATGTTCTCTCCTTTCCTGAATCTCTTACTTAACTAATCAGTTTCTTCATCTACCCGAGTAAATGTATAATCATCTAGTGTTGTCATCAATTCGCTCACATGCTAAATTTCACAAACGTCAAAATATATTTTGTTAGAGCATGATAGATTTACTCTAAAATAATTTATCTTATCCACTATAATAAAAGGGATGCCATAGAAAACAATTCTCCAACTTGGCTAGTTGATATCATTCCGACTAGTAAACACTCAAAGATGTTTTTTTTCCTTCACATTCCCAGTGGAACATAGGGCTCCAAGCTAGTGGCTTGAAGTTTCTGTAGCAGTGTTTATATTACACGATGGGGTTGCTAGCCTCATGCCTAACCTTTCCCCTTTGCCAGCTTTTTTATTATTGGTTTATTGAGGTAAAGGAGTGAGTCGACCGGGGGTCGAACCTCGGACCATGTGCTTGGTCGGCCAGCGTCCTAACCGCTGTGCCACCGACTCACGAAAGATGGTGTGATTGAAGTTAATTAAAGTGAAGAGTACCAACGGAACAGCCTTTGTGATAGCAGTGAATAATGTTAGATTTGTAAGCAGAAGTAATTAATAGAGAGTTAAAACATGGTTTTGATAAAACGTCTTTTCGAGAGAGTTTAACAGACCAACAGTTATTATTATTGTTTCCTATAATTCCTAGAGGAACATAGGGCTTCAGCCGCACGTCTCCATTGCTTTCGATTCTCTGCCAACCTTTTCACCTGGCTCCACGTCTGCTCACATGCTTTCATCTCCTCTTCACATGACCTCCTCCATGTCATCCTCAGACGACCTGCTCGCCGCTTCCCATTCGCGTTCCACTCGAGTGATGGCCTGTCTTGTGATGTCAATTGATGGTTTTCTTTGAGTATGGCCAATCCACCTCCCTTTCTTCCTGCCTATTTGTTTCACAATCGGTTCCTGGTTGGTTCGTTCATTGCCAGAGATCTCTGTTGCTGATCTTTTCTGGCCGGCCATCTGATCTTGAGTATTAAGCGAAGACAACTGTTAATGAAGGTCTGTGGTTTGTTTGAGATGCTCTTTATGACGCACCAAGTCTCTGATCCGTATAGTAGCACTAACTTCACATTGGAGTTGAAAATCCGGATCTTATTTTTGATTCTGAGTGCTGTTGACCTCCACACAGACTTGAGAGTAGTGAAAGCTTGTCTTGCTTTTCCGATTCTTGCTTTGATATCCTCATCAGTTCGGTTCGCTTGTAGTTGAAACTATGCTTCCCAGGTCGTTAGGTAGGTGAAGGAGGTTGCTTCTTTCAGACTTCTCCCATTTATGCTGTTGCTTTTGGCTAGGAATCTACATCACCTGTTTCCTCTATGTTCACCTGAAGTCCTATCTTCTCTGGATGCTTCTTCTACCAACTTGTTGCTTTTCAATTTCGTATCTTCCAGTTTGTGAGAAATCAGACATATATCATTGGCGAAGTTCATTTTATGACTGTCTCCTCGCTGCCCGCTGTCTTTCGCATTATCCAGTCTGCTGCAATCAGGAAAATCATTGGAGATAATAGGCAGCCAGTTTGTTTTACTCCCGTCTTCACTCCTATTATGGATTACTTGGCATCCAGTGTTGTCGTACAACTGTTGGATGAGATGTATACTTGTTGGTGGCATCCCGTAGTAGCGAAGTAAGTTGCCAAATCAAATCTCGATCGATGCTGTCGTAGTCCCTTTCAAAGTCAATTAAGTTGAGATAGACAGGTGACTGCCATTCTAAGCTCTGTTCAATGATAACCCGTAGTGTTGCGATTTGATCGATGCATGACTTGTTTCTCCTGAAGCCAACCTGTTCCGGTTGAAATTTTTCATCCACGGCGTGTTTGATTGTCTCCAGGATGATGCGGCTTAGTATTTTGCTTGAGATAGACAGGAGCATAATTCCGCGTCAGTTCTTGCATTGACTCAAGTCTCCTTTCGTTGGCAGTTTGAATAAGTAGCCTTTCTTCCAATCGGCGTGTACCTCACTCTCTTTCCACACCTTCTCCAGTAGTGGTGTCATCAAATCTGCTGATGTCTTGGGTCCATTTCCAATGCTTCTGCTGGTTTTCCATCTGGTCCCACTGCTTTTCCAGTTTTTAGCATTTTTATGACCTTCAGGATTTCTGCTTTCGTTGAAGGTTTAGTATCCACTGTTATTTCTGCTTCCTCTGTTGGTATTATTGGGCGCGTTGTAGGTGGCGATCGATTTAGAAATCTTTTGAAGTGTCCAGCCGAGTGTTTCCTTTGCTTCACCTCTTTGTTGATGGCCTTTCTATTGTCATCCTTCACTGGCCTAATTTGTGTTGTTCTTTTCCCCGATAGGAACCTAGTTGTTTGGTAGAGTGTTGCCAGGTTTCCTTTGCCTACAGCTTGTTCAGCTTCACTTGTCATACCTTCATAATATTGTCTTTTGTCTTCCCTGGTACTGACTGACAATAACTGACCAACAATTATGTTTCACTTATTCAACAAGATAAATAGTAAGTAAGTATATATTGATTGTTCTTGTGAGTCCTAATGAAGTTTAGAAAGCTGTCTGAAACAAGGAGTGAGGCTGAACAACAACAATGTGTGTCTGTTTAAAATTGTTACTTTGACTAATTGTAATGCAGCAGAAGTGTAAGATTGAGATTAGTCTTTTTTAATTGCTAACGATCAAAATATATCTCACCGCTGGTTAGATATCAGTGTTTTCACGTCGCAGTTCTTTTGTATTTTGTCGGGTTCCCAGTAGAAAATACGGCTTCAACAGCATGTCGCCACTTTGTTCTTTTTTCTGCTATCCCCTTTAACTGAGCCCACGATCGCACATAGTCTCTCATTCTCTTCTTGCACAATCTCTTCCATGTCACCCTTGGAAGACGCACTCCTTGTCTCCCATTCAGGTTCCACTCTAGAGTATGCCTGGTGTGCGATTTCATTCGATTGTCTCTTCAGCGTGTGCCAAATCTATCAACATTTTCTCCTACATATTTTTGAAGGGGCATATCTTAAATAGAGAGATATTGTGTAAAGTCGATTAATTTGTTTTCAGGTTTATCATTGGCATCGATAACATCGGTTTCCATATTTTATCTAAGTCATTTTCTGTTTAAACTTATAAATAGTTCAGTTTAATAATGTCATAAATTTTTTACTGTTTTTCTCCTGAATATTCCAATAGAAATCTTCAACAATATCATGCCCTATTTTCCTGGTCGTTCTGCTTGGGCACTTCAATCACGGTTTAGAACATTAAGAAAATGGGCTAAATTATGGAATGATCTACGCAACCGCATTCCTGCAATGCCACAGGATTCAACTGGTTGTGTGAGTAAATTTCAGTTATATGTATATGGATGTTCATTTCTTAGTAAGATTTTTTCATTGTCAAAGAGACCGTTGACATTACTCATTTTTGTAGTTGTGTAACAACAGAAGACAAGGGCCAGGCAACAGATCGTTTATTAAGGAAATCAAAGCATATTTATATATTTTCATGTACATTATTATAGTTTAGTTAAGCAAACAAACACAGTCTTCTGATTGGTTGTTTCTCACTTAAAGTTAATCTTTCATCTCTTTGTGACTGTTTCTTGAATGTCAAATCCTCTATATGTTAACTGTATCCACCTACGCAAAGTCTGCTGTGATCGGTTTTGAATCAGTCTTTGTTCATATTTTCTCACGACAAATCTTGAAAAAGTAAACATTGACGTAAATTACTGTCTACCAATTTGGCTAGTAGACAGCTCTCACCACAGTTGTCCGCCTACTTGAAACACTTGGCTATCTGAATTTCCATCCAACACAATGAATCAAATTTTCTTTAGTTCGTGTTGTTTTAACCATTTTTACAATTATGTCCTTGAGTCACATTTTCAATTGACTTGCAAAATACCTGTGCACATTTCTCAAAGACGAAGAAAAATAGAATATCATAAGAGATTATTATTAGTCTGTGCTTCAGATCGAACAGCACTGCATCACATGATATACTATAGGTCTCTCTTTTACTTGCAGATCCTAGATGAGTGAGAAAGAAGTATTGTGCAATAAATTCCGCTGAGAATTCTGTACAATGTGTAAACATTTTCTCCCCTTCATGTATTTTAAACAGGGTTGTATAAGCTGACTGACTACTGTATTCAGTGATGCTGTTGTGGTTCAACAGATTTCAACTTTGTAGTTAAGCATTTAGATTTTATCCTACTTATCTAGACAACTGGATATTCTCCCTCATATTTAGAATTATTTGGTTTTAATTTATAGCATAGATTGATGATACATTTCTGTGCTACTTATTGTTATTTTCCTTACTTCTCTGTGTAATCTTTAGATATCATTTTATTATGTGATGATATATCACGAATATGTGTACATTGTATGCCATACATTCTCATGTGTTAGTGTATGTGCCCTTCGTATATAAACTTTACATTATAGTAAAAAATGCTAGATATTTATAATTTTCAAGTATTGGTTTCTTTAGGGATTTTGTTTGATTGCATGAAGGATTTCATGATGAGCTGAAATCAGTTAGAGAACCACTGGAAAACCTGGGAGTACTGGGCAGCTGTTTCGTCCTAGTTTGGGACTCTTCATCAGTACGTACTCACCAGGATTCGAACCCAGGACCTTCTGGTTATAAATTGCTTACCTTTCTAGATAAAAAAACATAACTGAATTTCAACTGTTGGATTTCCTCACGAAGCAACACCAACTAAAGAGATCATTAAAAATCAGGAAGCAGTGAATGACTGTTTCGTTTTATTTTGGGACTCTGCATCAGCTATGACCTCACCGGGGACCGAATCTGGGATATTCAGATCATAAAATCAAGCCCACTGACCATTCAGTTACATGAGCAGGAATTCAATAACCCATGTATTCTAACTTTATCAAATTGTGATATAGTGCTATCCTCACCGATGTCTTCAATGAGCATCTACTTCACTTTGATACGCTAGATTCCCCACTGATGATGGTCACGATTTCTCACTGAAGCTTCAGGATATTCATCATCCAGTGGCCATTAATGAGATGGAGATTGATGTTTAGATTATGAGAGTTGTAGAATTTAGATTAATTTTATTTCAGTTGTTAGGTTTCGTCACGAGATCAGAGAGAGAGAGAGAGAGTGAGATTATTGAGGGCCAGGGAGCATTGGACAGCTGTTGTGGATGCACACCGTTGAAAAGTGCTGAAATAAGACGAAACGGCTCTCCAGTTCTTTTTGGTTTTCAATGATCTGCGTAACTGATGTTGGTTTGTGACGAAATCTACATTGGAAATAATAATAATAATAATAATAATAATAATAATAATAATGCTATTATGATCAACACTTGTCCCTTTTGTTTATTTTAGAATTCATCATCTTTATCATCACCATCACAAGAAAGTATTCTAATCTATTCACCATTGGCTAAACATTTTGTTAGTCAGTTAAGAAATGCTGGTGTACCAGATCCAGAAACTGAAGCGTATAGAACGGTAGGTTATTATTTATCAACACAATGTGTGTGATCACGGTAAATTTAAAATACTGTCAAATTAATTCCACACTATACTGTATTATTGTGGTGAGTGCTACTGATAGGATTTATCAATAGTATATAAAGGGACGTCCGTCGGCTTAAAAACATCAAATAGCAGCGAGATAGATTTGATGTCAGCGAAAGTAAATGATACAGCGTTGCGGAAATACATGGGAGAAGTGAATGAAACACAATATGAAGGCCATAAAAGTAACACAACGCAGAAGATCTGTGCAAATAGTGCGTTGAGGATAAGGTGTGCATAATTTCGCTATATAGAGATACCAAATTGCATTAAATATTCTACTGTTACATTGTAGTTTGCATTGGTTCTTTTAATCTTCTGTTTCCTTCTCAAATTTATTTTTATAACAAGTAAATATAAGTCTAAAAACTTGATGTATTATCTATGACCGACCGACTAACTGACTGATTGCTTGAGTTTCAACGTAGGACTTCGTACAGAAGTGCAACAGTTGTCACATACTCCATGTAAAGCACACGATAGTAGAGAAAAATGAAATAAAATAACTCATTAGAAGTGTACGGAAGAAAGAATGATTTCGTTGACAAGTATGAGAACTTAATTGGCTATGGGAGATTACAAAGAATGCATGCATCTGCGACTCTAAGAACAATTTGAGCCATATCACCAATAGTTTCCAGCCAATTGGATCTTATCTTAGTATCACAAGGACCCCACAGTATTTTCTGAGCAGCTACACCTTTCAGGATAGACAAATAGTTGACATGGTAAATCGAATCATTTAAGTATTTCCCTTCATTTGTGTGACTTAGCGATGCATATCTAATCGGGTTCAAACATCTGTGTCCATCTATAAAGCAGTTGCATTAGCACTTTTATAGTAGGCGTAGCTCTTTGCCAAGCTCTTGTGTTTGTTGAGTGGTATACTTACTATACACTGCTTGTCAGTCTCAAATAATTCAATAACTTCTAAACTTTAAGATACTTCCCTCCTGGCTAGACATAGTTAGAAATGTATAGATGTGATATAAAATCTCATCTTTGATATCAACAGATTTATTGTAAAAATTTTCTGGTTAGGTTATATATATTTTTCTTCTGAATTTAAGTACTGTTTGAATAACCGGTATCCTTTAATTTCCATCTCACACTTTCGTACAACATATGCCTTATAATGCCTATAATATATATGAAAAACAAAAAAACAAGTACTAATATGATTCTCTACATAAGAAAAGTTGAATAAATAATGATGATAGAGTTATTACTTCGAATGAGATCAATAATTTAATGAATGGGTTATAATCAGAATGCACATAGAAATGAATGAAAATTCGGTATTACGTAATAGCTCGAAAGAACAGCAGAATTAAAGTTAAAAAGTAATAAGTTCATTGTTACACGATAATCCTCTTTCTTTCTCTCATCATTGTTCCAATGTTATGACATTTGCCGTTTAATGTAAATACAGAAAATATCCCCGTTTAGACATTTGGAAAACAGAAAGATTGAGCGAAGAAATATTTACTCTTCAATTAGATCCTCTTCTCAGGCTCTACTCTAATATATATAGCATTTTTATTACAATACACAACAGTTTACCAAACAAGTGGTGATATGTTTGTTAACAATAATTAAATAGTGTCAAAATGTCAATGGGTTGATGATTAACGAAGAAAATCAATACAAATTTAAAAGGTAGAAATGGATAGAATAAATTAATTTTACAAGGATAACACGTAATTAAAGATGAAGTGGTCAAAATAAAAATAAAATAATTTGGACAATTGTAATTTAATAGGTTTAGGGGGAGGGAGAGGAGGGGCGACGTAGTCCTGTCTTGTGAGGATGGCCACAGTAAGGAAAGTGGCTGTACAAATTTCTACTGTACACATAGGCTTGGTTCCTTCTGGTGGATTCCGTTTGCTTCAGCTGTCTGTAGAAGACGAACTCGTAGAATATGTTATGATGCTAGATCCTTTGTCGCGCGGTCACTGCTTAACTACTGACCAGCGCCCACTTAACTGGTAAAGCAGAACACGAAGAGAATCAACGGTAAAACCAGGTTCATTTTTTATGACAAAAGTGACTGTATTTATACAGAAAATAAGGTAGACTGGAAATCAACCAATCCGGTTGAGAGTTTGAATTGTGCAAGCGTCCAATCAGAAGCAGGAACAATTGCATGTCAACGACTTGTTAATAACGTGATAATAACTTGACTGAGAGATGATAATGACCTGATAATTGCATGTGTTTTGCCTCTTCCTAACAGAATACAACAGATTACATTGATTCCAGCAAAATGCAAAAATGTGACTTATTATTGTAGGTCCAAGGTTCGAATCCTGCCCTTCACCTACTTCAGCCTAAGCAACTGGGTTGTGTAATCAACTGCGTAATAAGTGTGACTCAAATCCTTATCTGTTACTGGTGAATGAGTTCGAACTAAATAACTAACCATAATGGAATGTGGTTTTTACAAAGTTGGGTTGTCTCTAAGTAGTTATTTGTACCCACTAACATTCCACAATTAAACATTGCTTAAATAGTATTTTAAAAGAATTATTTCATGAACTGGTGATCTTGAAGTAATTTAGTAAATCTCGCATATGCATAAATAGTGTTTATTGGTTATTGAGTATTTCAAGGAAGTATAACCACTAAGTTATTTTGGTTGGACGGTGGAATTAAACTTCATAATGCTTTGGTGTTTAAAATTATGTGGTGCAAGTTTTAGGTGTCATTGGGAACCTATCATTCACTGGGAATGCAGGTACATCCTTCCAGATGATGAGTCTCAAATATGACGAAGTGCGCATGGCCTAGATTCCACTGTCAGTCACCATCCCAGCCAAGATAACATCATGTCATGTTGAAGCGTTCGTATTAGGCGCTGACATGGTACCACAAAAATTGAACATTTTGTTCCAGTATAATCAGTCAACGGGAAATGTAAATGAACCTAAGAAGTTATTCACTGTTATTATTACTATTTATTATTTTTCCCTTGGGTTCCTAGTGGAACATAGGGCTTCAACTGCACGTCTCCACTCGCTTCTGTCTTCTGCTGTACTTTTCACCTGCGTCCATGTTAGTCCATACTGTTTCAGTTCCTCTTCACGTGATCTACTCCATGTCACCCTTGGACATCCCACTCGCCGCTTCCCTTTCGGGTTCCACTCGAGCTATGGCCTGACGCGCGATGTCACCCAGTGGCCTCCTCAGCCAGTGAGTGTTCAATCCATCTCCACTTTCTCCTGCATACTTGTTGAGCGATTGGTTCTTGTTTTGTTTGTTCCTATAGTTTCTTGTTGGTGATTCTTTCCGGCCATCTGATCTTGAGTATAGAGCGAAGACAGTTGTTGATGAAGGTCTGCAACAGGCTGTTGGAAATATTCTTTGTGACCCGCCGCCAAGTTTCTGATCCGTATAGAAGAACTGACTGACTTGACGTTTGTATTGAAAATCCGAATTTTATTGTTGATGTTGAGTGACGAAGATTTCCAGATTGGTTTCAGGTTGATGAATGTGTTTCTCGCCTTCCCGATTCTCGATTTGACATCCTCGTCCGTTCCTTTCCTCTTGCAGTTGAGACAATGCTCCCTAGATAAGTGAATGAAGTAACCTCTTTCAAATCCCTCCCGTTGATGGTGATTGACGGCGGATGTTGCTGATGCTGTTGTTGTTGTTGTTGGTTGGTTATTTTCATAACCTCCGTCTTGTCTATGTTCACCTGGAGTCCTGTCTTCTCTGGCTGCTTCTTCGACCAGTTTGTCGGTTTTCGCTTGTAAGTCTTCGATTTTGTGTGACATCAAACATAAATCATCCACGCGCGAAATCCAGGTCTTCTAGGTTCCGTTCAGTTCCGCTGAGTTTTCCGTTGTGGATCACTTGACATGTGCCATTGTCGTACAGCTGCTCAATAAGGTTGATGAATATTTGGGGTACACCGTAGTACTCGAGTAGTTTCCAAAATACTTCGCAGTCAACGCTGTCTGTCGAAGGCCTTCTCAAAGTTTATAAAGTTGAGGTAGAGATTTGATTGCCATTCCATGCTTTGTTCGATGATGATACATTGCAACTCTATGCAATTCTTTATAATTGGTTGATCATATTCATTGACTTGGAGATACAATTATTTCATCATTCATGAAGAATGCGAATAAGTTCACGTCATTATTAAAGCTCTACTCTGAAGATGTTGCTTAGATAGACACCAGAAGCTTCATAATTTAATCAATCAGATCAGAGAACGCAGTTAAATCAAAATCATCCACTTCAACTACAAATCTTCTCTACTATTTCAAAGTACTGTAATGTTGAATAATAATAATACGTGCTTGTTTCATTGCCTTTTTCTTTATAACCTCTATTATATTCTAGTTAACTTCTTGGAAGAAAACAAAATTGCCTGTCAAATCGAATTACACTTGGTTAAAAAGTGATTGGAAGCCTAATCAAATAGATCAAGATTTTATGCAACTATTGAGTGAATTAGCCTCTGGTGTTTTAATTCAACAACATTTACAGCCTAATGATATCTTTAATACTACAGATATTGTTACTTCAAGTCAATTGAATGACGCGTATGGATTAGAAGAGGACACGACTTCTACTACTACTGCTACTACGACTACGACTAATGCTGTCACCACTGCTCCCAGTAGTAGTGGTAATATTAATAATAATAATAATGACAATAGTGAAATATCAAATCTAGAGAAAATCGCTGAAATTTCCAATCAAGATTTATTTGGACGTCTTCCAGGCCCACAATCTAAATGGATGATATATCAAACTCAGGTAACTAATTGACTTATTCTTTTCATCATTTCTCTTTTTTGTGGGGGAGGGGGTGTGGTATTCTTAAAGGCAATTTGTTTATATTACAATATGCAATTGTGTTTTGTTTTGTTGTTTTTTTTCTTCTGAAGAAAAATTTGCGTATTAATTATTTCTCGAAATAAAACTATTAATTCCATAAGGGAAAATAGTTGTTTTTCTTGTTCAGTGAGAAAATATTTCTTTTTTTTTTCTAGCGAATTCATTTTCAAGCTGTACAGTTGTATTTATACTACGGAGAAAAGCATTGAATGGTACTAGAAATTTCGCAGTCAATATACATATGATAAGAATAAAGGTAATCAAAAGTGGTATATTAGGGGAGAGTGGTAGTGTTGAAGTGGATGAATTACAAAACTTCTAAATAAATCTTGCTCCTGTCCATCCCAAGCAAAATACTAAGACACATCATCCTCGGGAGGATCAAACACGCTGTGGATGAAAAAATTCGACTGGAACAGGCTGGATTCAGGAGAAATAAGTCATGCATCGATCAAACCGCAGCACTACGGATCATCATTGAACAGAACTTGGAATGGTAGTCACCTCTCTATCTCAACTTCATTGACTTTGAAAAGACCTTCGACAGCGTCGATTGAGAGGTGCTTTGGAAACTACTTCGCTACTACGGGGTGCCATCGACAATTATACATCTCATCCAACATACGACAATTCTGCATTCTAAGTAATCCACAACGGGGAACTTACAGGATCCTTCGAAGTGAAGACGGAAGTAAGACAAGTTGGCTGCCTGCTATCGCCAATGATTGTCCTGATTGCGGTTTTCTGAATAATACGACAGACAACGGGCAGCGAGGAGACAATCATAAAATGGACTCACACAAAAAACTTGGAGGATCTGGACTTTGCCGATGATACATGTCTGGTTTACCACAAACTAGAAGGTATGCAAGTGAAAAGCAACAAGATGGCAGAAGAAGCATCAAAGATAGGACTTCAGTTGAACACAGAGAAGACAGAGGTTATGAGGAATCCTGGAAAACAGCAACAGCAGCACCAACAGATAAAAATCAGCATAAATGGGAGAAATCTGAAAGAAAAAACCTCCTTTACATACCTGGGAAGCATCGTTTCAACTACAAGCGAACCGAACTGATGCGGATATCAAAGCAAGACAAGCTTTCACTACTCTCAAGTCTGTGTGGAGGTCAACAGCACTCAGCATCAAAAATAAGATCCGGACTTTCAACTCCAATGTGAAGTGAGTGCTACTACACGGATCAGAGACTTGGTGCGTCATAAAGAGCATCTCAAAAAAACCACAGACCTTCATTAACAGTTGTCTTCGCTCAATACTACTCAAGATCAGATGGCCAGAAAAGATCAGCAACAGGGATGGATCTCTGGGAGCTAACCAACCAAGCAGGAACCGATTGTGAAACAAATCTGTAGGAAGAAATGGAGATGGATTGGCCATACTCTGAGGAAACCATCACTTGACATCACTAGACAAGCCATTGCTCGAGTGGAACCCGAAAGGGAAGCGTCGAGTTGGTCGTCAGTGCAAGGGTGACTTGGAGGAGGTCATGTGAAGAGGAGATGAAAACGTGTGGGCGGACTTGGAGCCAGGTGAAAAGGTTGGCAGAGAACCGAACGCAATGGAGACGCACGGCTGAAGCCCTATGTTCCTGTAGGAATTAAAGGAAACAATAATCATAAAGACTATCAAATGAGTGAATTAGTGTTAAGATTTAAAAAAAAAATAGTAGGTCAAATTTTGTCTAAAGAATTAACAGTACGATGAAGATAACTTACTGTAAAGACGGTGAAAAAGAAGTCGAAGTGGAATTGAAATATGCACGAATACAGAATGTGATTCACAGACGTTGTTTGGATGATTATAACAACAGTGAAATGGAGCAAAATACGGTGCATTTAAATGAGTAGAAAATTTAATCGATCCAGTGTTGATTAAGGCAGGCTATCATTAGGCAAAAAGTATTTCTGGTTGTGAATATTGATAGTTTGTTCAAATCACTTAAGATTAATGTTTTATTTTCCATTAGAAGTGGTAACCATATAAGCTGTCTGCAACTAATGAATTATTTTATTTTCTGAGATATACGGGGATCCGAAATAATTTCTATTTTTAGATTTTCGTCATGAATCAACATCAGCTAAAGAGACCATTGAAAACCATGGAGCTTCGTCCTTTTTTGGAACTTTTCAGTAGTCTATACACTCACAACTCTACCAGGGATATGGAATCCATGAACTTGAGATTATCATCTTTCTGACTGATATTTGTTTGTGAAGAAAATCTTACAAATGAAAATTACTGAACGTTTTTTTCTCTTTAAACCGTATTACATGAATATAAATGAGAAGTTAGAGGTATATATTATTGACAATGCTTCCACCAGTTAGCTGCATCTTAGTCTAACATGTGTGTTAGTACTCTTTATATTTCAGTACAGGAAATATTGGTGGTAGATCACTCAACTCTAAATGAAATACACATTCAAGTTAATTTTGCCATTCTTGAATATATATATATATATATATATATATATATATATATATAAATGTATATATATATCATTGTATCTGTAAATTTTAGTTTCTTATTAACCCATATTTGTATATTCTAGGTGAAACATGTTTTAGTTGGTCCAATACGTAGGCAACTTTATATATTAGCTGGTGTTCCTATCCCCTCGTCATTGGCCCCTTCATCATCATTATCTGTATCTCTTCGTCCTTCCTCAGTTTATTCTCAACCAAGAACAATTAACAAACGTAAAGATAGTCGAGCATTGCTATTATTACGTAAGGAGCATTTATTTTGGATGACGTTCGATCGGGCAATGTGTGATCCAAAGGTTAAATTATACTTACGACGAATCACGAAAATATCAATGTTACGAAATGTAAGTCATATAAGTTATGATTACAGTAATAATAATTTTATTACCTATGCTTTGTTTCTATGGGTCTATATAAGATGATGGTTATGTTTGGTGGTGCTCGATGCTGCTTACAAGAGGACATTTATTATGTGAGAAAATTAATTTTATTAAGTGCTGATTTGCAGGGATTTAATTAGTTACAGGTTTGATCACACAGGTTGAAATCAATCAGAGAACTATTGGAAAACCAACAGGGAGTACTGGATAGCTGTTTCATCCCAGCTTGGGACCCTTCAGTAGTACACGCCCACTGGGGTTCGAACCTCATAATCGGGCTCCAATGGTTAAAATTGTCTATGAGTTTGCCTTATAATCGGAAAGTTCTGAGTTAAAACCCCGGTGGCTACGTACTACTTAAGACATCAAAACTAGGTGTGTAGAGAGAGGGTAAGACTTTTTCATTTACTTTTTTTTAATGGAATAGTCATTCGTATATCTTCATCTATACGTCAGATCTGTAAACTTTATCATCGTTATCATTGTTATTGTTTATTATGCCTCTCATCTATACACTTAGTGCGTATACAACTTGAATAAATGTGGTTATCCTCTGTGAGGTTTGTGAAAGTGTTAGAAGTTAGTGATTATTCAAGACTTGGTAATATGATTGAAAATCGATCATATTATTGTAGATATTTGATATCTTTACTCTGTTTTTCGCCATTGACATTGACTCAGTTCACTGTACGTTCTGGTCTTCACTGAGTATCTTTCACTCAACATTCCATGATGGTTGCACAGTCTGAAATCTTGAACTGGCTAGTTTGTGTGTGGTTGAATGGTCTAAGAGTTCATTTTGTAACTGGAAGGTTTTGGGTTAGAACCCCGGACAGAAGAACTTTGTGTATTATTTTTTGTTACTTTGTTTATTCTTTAGGTGTATCGATTCGATATACTCATAATTTCGTATAAACGCATTTAAGTGGGAATATAGCACACCGCTCACGGCGTTTATAATTAGCATAGTTATAGTTAGTTTACCGAGATGCATTACAGTGTTATTGAAATTTTTTAGTAATGCTGAAGGCATGCCATATCTTATATTTCCATAACTTAGATTTTTTGAAGCTGAAAGTCCCTTCCATATTTTCCTGTGGACAGCTTAGGTTACTGAACACGTTGTTCTCTTTTCTTAAGGTTTATGGGTAATCAAGTTAGAATCATACATACTACTAATCATGTATTCAACACTACCAATAGCTAACTTGCATATTGTAATAATCCAAAGAGTTATATTGATTGGAGTGATTTTTCATTCAGCTTCTACCACACACTGTAAATGGTCGTTTGGATAGCTGTTGAAGTGAAAGCGGCTATCACCATTGGTGTAAGTTATTTACACTACGTTGGAACGGAGGGGCGGGGGGTTCTGTCAGTAAAACAGTACTACTGAAGAATAGGTGTTTCGCAGTGGTAAGACTGTAATAACAAAAGGCAAGACCTGGAAGCCAAGGTATATTTTTCATTAATCAAACCGCTGTCTACATATATGTACAGTTTATATTCTCTAACCGATCACTGAGCGTATGATTTCGGTTTACACCAATTGACATGAAATAGAATGTTCAGATATACATAGTATTCTGTTGCTAATGCTGAAAGTGTGCGTCGGTGGCATAGCGGTTAGGATGCTCGCCGACCATGCATATGGTCCGGGGTTCAATCCCCGGCCACAGACGCACTCCTTTACCTCGCTAAGCCAGAAATAATGCTGGTGAAGAGGAAAGATTGGGCATCCTGTAAAAATACAAAGTGCTACAGAAACTTCAAGCCTCTTGTTTGAGGCCCTATGTTCCACTGGGGAACGTGAAGGAAAAACAAATGCCGAAATGAACTGTGGGAATATGTGAGAATAATATTCCGTTGGCACACATTGCCCATATCACACCACCACAAGATGTTTCCCTTTAACTATCAGTAAGCCAGACATACTCTGGGAAGGGGTTTGAAAAGGTTGCTCTCTAGAATTACATATTCCAACTTAACTCATATGGGTCCGCAACAGGCATTAAAGTCTTTGTATGGGCATAATTTCGAAAAGGTAGTGTGTGTGTGATTGACTTTAAGAAGCTATTCTCTGCACTCCGTAGTCATGAAACACTGATACACTTTGTCGTTTAGGTACTTTACGAGAAAAAAAAACCAACATCTACACTGTGAATAGCCAGGAGGTAGCAACCACCTAGACACTTTCATAAGCACATGGAATTCCCCTGTTCATCATTATTCACCTTCATCTTTTTGTTTTACTTCTACTGCTAACACTATTCCGCAGAGAGTTTCTCCACCTTCTGTTATCCCTGAGTCTCCATCAAATATTTTATTGAATAGTTTGTTTGTTTTGTTTTGAGGAAGTAGAATATCTAGAATATCCTTTAAAAATCAATCACTTTTAAAAATTTTAATGAAATTTTACAGCATACCTATATATTATCGATTTTCTGTTAAAATCTACTGTTGTAAATCTTTCTTTTTGTTGTTTAAAAGTTTAATAAGTACTGCTAGTACCAATTAAACTGTTTATTGTTCAAGTTGTTAGCATCATAACCTATGAAAAGAATGTATATCACAATTATTGAACTCAGAACGTAATAATGCGTCGGTGGCATAGTGGTTAGGACGCTCGCCGACCATGCATATGGTCCTGGGTTCGATCCTCGGCCGACGCACTCCTTTACCTCGCTAAGCCAGAAATAATGCTGGTGAGGAGGAAAGGTTGGGCATGAGGCTAGCAACTCTATCCTGTAAAAATAAACACTGCTACAGAAACTTCAAGCCGCTAGCTTGAAGCCCTATGTTCCACTGGGAACGTGAAGGATTAAAAAAAAACGTAATAACTTGTAGCTAATATGTTACCATCAGTTGGCTTCTGATGTCAGGACAGAGAATACGATTTTCGTTTATATATATATGCATGTGTTGTAGCGATGACAGATGTTGAAATGATTATTTTAATGTTCATAAATAGGTCTTGAGTTTATATCTGTATGATGAGGGGATTTCTTAGTGTTAACATGAAAGACACTATGTCATCAGCTAAATATATTGACATTTTGGAATATTTCATGGAGGATTTCATCATGAGCTGATATCAGTTAGAGAACCACTGGAAAACCAGCTGGGAGTACTGGACAGCTGTTTCGTCAGCCTAGTTTGGGACTCTTCATCAGTACGCACCCATCACCGGGTTTTGAGCCCAGGACCTTTTGGTTACAAGGTGAGCTCGTAGACCATTGAGCCACTGGGACCCGATTTGGGGATATGTATTGATAAACAAATTTCCTTTTGTTAAGTAAAGACGTTGACGGAATACTGTCTTTTTGTATAATATTTCTATTACTTTGTATCAATCGAATGTTCTATGTTAATTAGCATGTCTTTCTTTTCTAATCACAGCTGAGATATTTTGGTCAGTCTAGTATGTTTATGAATAATACATAGTCGAAATTTTGATGATTTTTCAATAAAATTAGTGAAGATTTCTCAAAATATTCATAAATACATCAAAACAGACAACAGAGATAATCTTTATCACTCAGTTTGTTAACAGTTACATAAAAAGATTCAATTGATTCTGCTTTATGAAAGGATACTGATATGGAATATGTATTTGTCTTATATAATCGTTATATTTATTTCATGTGTATTCTTTGTACTTAGTCTGTGTAGCAGACTTAGCAATGTTCAGAAGTTATTTTTTTTTAGGGATTTGATTTATTTCTAGTTTAATCACCATCTAACAACAGTTAGAGAGAGAGAGAACTATTGAAAACCAGGGAGTACTGCTGGTCATCTGTTTCTTTTTAGTCTTTTAGACTTGTCAGCAGTACGCACACATAATCCCCTGGGAGTCAAACCCAGGATGTCTATGCCACGTGGCGGGTTCCTTTACCATTGTGCTACTGAGACACACACAGTCTAATGGACCATGAATTCAAGCTTCTGGTGATTCGCAATATCAATGGCGCGGTTGCCAGCTAATGTCATCGGCGAGTATTTAGCCTTACACCCAAGCTAGCAGATTCCATCCTTTTGGCAGAATGGTAAACGGGCTCGTCTCATAATCTGAAGGTTCTGGGTTCGATCGCTGGCAGGGTCATGGGTGCTTACCGCGGAAGAGTCCTGAACTGGGACGAAACAACTGGCCAATACTCTTGTGTTATTAATGGTTCTCTAACTAAGAAATCAAATCTTCCTTCAAACTAACTCTTGGAAATTAGTCTGATTCTCGGTAGTGACTAAATATGGAATGAACTTTTCCTGTATTTCTAGTGAGAAGTCATGGTCAGCGGGATCCACCAGGTTGATTGTGAGGACGAATACTCGCTGGTGATATTAACTGGCAATCGTGCTAAAATCGCGAATTGACAGAAGTTAGAATTTATGTTCCATTGGATTCTGTCATAGTGGCAGAATGTTCAGCGAGCTCACCTGGTAACCCGAAGGTTCTGGGTTCGACCCCTGGTGAGGTCACGAGTGCCTACTATCGAAGAGTCCCGAATTGTGACGAGACACCTGTTCAATACTCCTTGGTTTTCAATAGTTCTCTAACTGATATCAATCTTTGATCAGACCTAGTAGTGATTAATATGATGTTTGTTTGTTTGATTTTCAAATAACGACATGTTAACTTCTTTATGTTTAAAGAAAAAATATTTATTTTATTGATTCTTTTCTCTTCATAGGTAGGCCCTCTTATTGCTCGTATAATGGTGTCGCATCTTGGTCAAAAACCTATTGCTTATAGGACTCATGAACGTCTAAAAAAATTCAGATATCGCTCTCGAACTTTACGAGCGCGAAAAAGTACACGATGTAAAAGAGCATTAAGAAAAACTACACTAGAGAAACATGGTATTTCATCATCGAGAACTGTAAATCACTCTAATAATAATTCTTATTCTTCTCCTTCTACTACTCAGTTGTCAGTTGAGAAAGATAATTCATTACCTGCAAACAGTAAAAATAACTCCCGACGAAAATCTACACGTAATACCACTTCTTCAGTGAATAAAACAGCTTGCAATAGTAAGAGTACTACGACAAGAACAACTGCTACTGCTAGTGTAACTGCCTCTACTTCAACTGAGAATAATGATTCTTTAGAAGTAACAACAGAAAGATGTCGAGCGTTACTGCGAATTCGAAATCTTTTAAAGTTATATGGAGAAAGAAGAAAGGATTCTGCAAATCTCTATTCTTTAAATACAAGTGCTTGGTATCAAAGAGAAAAAGCAACAACTGTAAGTGATATACGTCTCCTTCTAATGACATACCTATATCGAATGAATAATTTATCTATCCTGTCTTGTAGTATACTTAAATTTTGCCTAGAGCTTTGTCGTTTATGAGTGTATTATTGATAACAGTGTACATTAAATTGTATGTGATACAATTGTGGCGTGATGACGATTGATAGAGGAAGCTGCCAAAAGTGAAATCAACATTTTAAGGCAATGAGTGCAGAGTTCACCTTGGAAAACTCGTTTAATCTTTGGCCAGTTGCCGACCAATCAGAACGATTTGTACTCATTTGACCTAGACGAACTTTAATGTGGTCAAGAATGTATATATATGATATATTTTTCCTTAACAAGAAAGTCCATTACCTAGTCTTTTATCTTCTCCCGTTAACAACCTTTTCCTACTTCAGTTAGCATTTCTCTGTTAATAGGATTGGTAACTCTGTATGCATTACACATTTTTCAGATATCCTTATCAATAAATATTGATTATCATGTATTAAGTGGTCTACTTGATTTGTCTAATACTTGATTTCATTTCGATGCGTGAATAAAAAGAAACAGTAATGCAATGAGGAGGACCCTTTTGTTTTGCAAATTTCATTTATTAAGCAGTTACTATTATTGATATAGTGTTTTCGCTTTATAGTAATGTCAGACAATATTCCGTAGTCAATTTGGGCTAAAACTCCTATTAAATTACTCATATATACTTCTTTATATAGGTGCATATGGATCGGTAGGTAGCTGTATATAGAAGGGGTTAAATACAATATTGTTTTTTCCTATTTGTTACACTATGTTGGGTAACAGGAGACTACTCATCTCATTAACGATATCGAAAATATCCTCCTAAGAGATGTTGATTGTTTCTAGGTTAGTGTTAGAAGGTATAATCTAGTTTCATGTACAACATCTTTCCAGTGCAACAGGGAAGGTGCTTTTTTGTATGGTCTAGTGGTTTGTCTTTTATTCTGCAAAATGAAGAAGATACTACTTTCTAATAATTTTCCTCTTAGAAGAGAGATCTAGAAAAAATATATAATTAGATTTGTAGATTATTTAGACAGACGTGTTAAACTTTAAATTAAGCAGTAATACAAATCTAACTACAGGTCTTATGACTTAGCTGACAAATCACTAAGTTGTTGCATGTGATTGTGTTAGTTCAAGTAGAGTGTCCTGATTACCATTTACATACTGTTTTGGGACTAAATTCTAGGTTACATACTATGAATCAAATTGATCTGCTTATTATTATACCACAGGAATATGCATTTATTTTTATACACTGATATACGATCGACTGTTTACACGAGTCTAGTGGTCGAAATATTTTGGATTCCCCTTACTTAACTATACAACTTTTGATTTTCGTGGTGTCAGGCATCTTAAGCATGAGCATTGCTATATTATACTCTAGGACAAAGCCTCAATGAACTCTTTGATGAATACAAATCTAACGCTTTTATTGACAAACCAGACATAGCTTCACAGCTGTATGTTTCTTACGTTCATTACGTTTCAGATACATGCGAATGAACTAACACATGGTTTAGTGACCAAAAGTGATATTTAGGAAAGATTAACATTCCTTCAATAAGCAGCAAAGACAGGACTGCAGGTGAACATAGACAAGACGGAGATTATGAAAATAACCACCACCACCAACAACAGCAGCAACATCCAGCAACAATCACCATCAACGGGAGGGATTTCAAAGAGGTTACTTCATTCACTTATCTAAGGAGCATTGTCTCAACTACAGGAAGAACGGACGAGGATGTCAAATCGAGAATCGGGAAGGCGAAAAACACACTCATCAACCTGAAACCAATCTGGAAATCTTCGTCACTCAGCCTGCATCAACAACAAAGTGATTCGGATTTTCAATACAAACGTCAAGTCAGTCAGTTCTTCTATACGGATCAGAAACTTGGCCAGTGTGTCACAAAGAATATTTTCAACAGCCTGTTGCAGACCTTTATCAACAACTATCTTTGCTCTATACTGAAGATCAGATGGCCGGAAGGAATCACCAACAAGAAACTATGAGAACAAACAAAACAAGAACCAATCGCTCAACAAATATGCAGGAGAAAGTGGAGATGGATTGGACACTCACTGAGGAGGCCTCTGGGTGACATCGCGTGTCAGGCCAGTGCTCGAGTGGAACCCGAAAGGGAAGCAGCGAGTGGGATGTCCAAGGGTGACATGGAGGAGATCGTGTGAAGAGGAGTTGAAACAGTATTGAATCACGTGGATGCAGGTGAAAAGTAAAGCAGAAGACAGAAGCAAGTGGAGACGTGCAGTTGAAGCCCTATGTTCCACTAGGAACCCAAGGGAACACTAAAAAATATAAAAAACATTCATTCAGTGGTCGCTTCCATCAATGATTCGTAATAAATTAGTATGTCTGTGTGATATTGGCTGTTATCGATTAAGATAATGTTTCTCCTTATGTTTGAAGTTAGTGCTAACAGGAAACAGGTGACTGTCTAAATAAAACATTGAAGGTATAATAAAATTCCGCGTTCTAATTAATTCTTACTGAGTCATCCATCATGTCTACAATAACATTCACTTACCTAGAATCGTTATTTATTGACAATGGTGTATTAATTCCCATCATATATTTTGTTTTGATTATCACTTTCTATAGGGGCGCGCTTGTGCACAAAGGAAGTATATGCCACTTGTTTTTCGTAATTTGCCGCAAAAAGTATGTACTCTTCTGTATAGTAAATCTGTGGAGGAAAAATCACGTGAACTGGCATTGTCACAGTCATGTTATGTGGATACATTAGATGTAGATAAAAATGGAGTAGAAGTATCACCTCGTACTCGTAGAACTACTACTACTACTACCAATGATTCTTCAGTCTTGCCTACATTATCAGATATCGTTGGAACCCAGTTTTCACGGGTGTGTAAACCAGACATTATCCCACCAAATTATGCTACTTTCTTAGGTTTCAAGAGTGTTTTAATGCATTTATCTACTTTGTTAACAAAGGAGAGAAGTCGATTTTCACAATTTGTTGAATTCAGGTATGTTACTTCTCATGAATATATTATTATTTAGTTACTTCTATTCACACATAGGGTCGCATTGATTTCTAGACATTTACTATTTTTTGTTGTAGATTATTTTCAAGAGATTACCAGAGTTATATTTTTGAAAGAAAAAATAGTTTATAGGGTACTTCTGAGACTGGATGATTTAGTTATATATTTTAAAGCATAAATCATCTTCTTATTGTCTATTGATCCCTGTAGACTAATCAAACGCTTTTTAGTTGTACCAGTTATGCAACAATAATATACACATCACATTGACGAGTCACTTTGTTGGTGTAAGCAATGTTTTGTGTCTAGATTTTTGGTGTTACTGTTGAATAGTATCTATCACTCGAGTTGGCAATATGGTCACCAGACTAGGTGATTCATTGTCCATCACCAGCTACACTATTCGAATTAGGCGGTTATTAGGCCGGTGTGGGCAACCGGCACAAAACCCTGTCACATCTGTAATCACACTGTGAATTTCTAATAACTAAATCTGTTGTGAAGTGTCTATGAAGCACTGCACATATCTCAATCAAACTGTATATTGATCTCTGTGCGTCGATGGTGCAGCGGTGAAAATTCTGGCCAAATACGCATATGGTTTCGGGGTTTGATTCCCAGTCGACGCTCTCCTAAACCTCCTTAGTTCTGTATGTAATAAGACCTGTAAAGAGGGAAGCTTGGACATGAGTCTATCAACCCTAATCCATAAAGAGAAACACTACTGCTACTGAAACTCCAAAGTTCCAGCTTGAAATCCCATTTTCCATGAGGAAGGTAAAGGAATAAAATAAGGGAAACTAATGGAAGAAATACTTATCTTTATTATACCTGTTAAATGATACCATATTAGTTTGTTTATTAGATATATCACACTGTGAAGCAGTATTATTTACTGGATGACGATCATTCATAATCTAATCAATTAATTGATTATTTTCAGTGTGGTTCACTTAAAAAGAAGTTGTTTGCAAAACAGTAGGTTCATTAGATGCCTTATTATATCGGATTATTGCTCACCCGGGTTCCGAGTGGATCATAGGATCATTTCATCCTGCTCTCTGTCTCTCTCTCTCTGAGCTTCACAGAATACTCATAAGCTTTAACTTCTTCCTAACACGATCTTCTCTCTGTCAACATCAAAGCAACGCCCAACTCATCGCGCTTCCCATTCGAGTTCCACTCTAAGGTCTGGCGCATGATGTGTCACTCAACGGTCTCCTCAGCATATGTTCAATTCATCTCCATTTAATTCTCACATTTATTGGGCAATAGGTTCTTAGTTGGTTTGTTTCTAGAGTTCCTTGCTGCTAATTCTTTCTGGCCGGCCATCTGATCTTCAATATATGCAGCAAATGCACTTGTCGATGAAAGTGTGCAGCAGACTGTCGTCGGGAATGCTTTTCGTGACACTTCAATTCTCTGAATCACACAGAAGCACTCACTAATTTCAAAATTAGTGTCTTGTTCTCTATACCGATCGCAACAGATTTCCACACTGATTTCTCAGTAATGAATATCTATCTGTCTTGTTTTTCTGCTCCCAAATAATTTTTTAGATATTCATCGGTGTTGCTGCCGTTAGTTGAGACGATGCTGCCTAGATTTGTCTTTGTCTTCCTTTACATTATTCCCATTGATGTTGATTGATGTCTGTTGTTATTGGTTAGGTTTCTTCATCACCTCTGTCTTCTTTGTGTCTACTTGAAGTTCGGTCTTTGCTACTGCTGCTTTTTCCGATAAACTTGTTCATTTTCACTTCTGGATTGTCGAGTGTATAGAGTTTCTTTAAAACTTTTGCTTTATTCCATTTATGTTCAACAGTGGAATACATGGCTCTTCAGACTTGAGTTTTGAAATCTCTGTTGCACTTTGTGTTATTTTTACGGGGTAGGATTGCTAGCCTCGCACTCAACCTCTTTCCTCTTCACCGAGCAGCTTACTTCCGGTTAATAGAGAGGTTTAGGAGTGCGTCGACTGGGGATCGAACCCCGAACCGCATATATATCTGGCAAGCATTGTACTGCTACACAACCAATGGCCAAATGTATAGATTGATTATATAGATTATATGGGGATTTTTACTCTGACAATTTTTTTTTCATGGCATCTGAACAATGTATGTGATATTTTGAATATGACAGCTTTAAAACCAATTAGCTTTTTCTTTTTTTTTTAAACTAACTAAATGATCACTTGATAGTTGTTCGTAATTTCCATGGTAATGAAATTTCACCTCTGAGTGACTGTTAGCTTTGCAAATGATGTCGCCCTCCATACTTTTGTTGTTGTTGTGAGGAGATGGGATTAGAAAGACTAATGTTTAAAATATTATCATTATTTATGTTTTATGACTTTCAGAAATCTGCTAAACATGTCTCCTGGTAATACTAACACGAATGAAGAAACTAAAAAAAGTAAGACCTCATTATATATATATATATACAAAATTTTATATTATATTTTGATATTCTAAACACACTAGGATTATAAATAAGGAGTAAACTAAGAAAATAAATGGTTTGTGTGTGGAAGAGTACCAATTAAATAATGATAGGAGGTCATAATATCAACTGTCAACCGTTGGAAACCAGGGAGTACTGGAGAGCTGTTTCGTCCTAGTTTCCCGGGTCTCATCGGCAGTACGCACTCACTGATTGGGTTTCGAACCCAGGACCTTGTAGTTACAAGGCAAGCTCGTAGACCATTCAGCTACTGGGATCTGGCTCGATGGCTCATGAATTCTAACTTCTGCTGGAAGGTTCTAGGTTTGGACCCTGGTAGGTACGTGCTGTTGAAAAGTTGCAAACCGGGACGAAACAGCTGTTCAGTACTCCCTGGTTTCCAATGGTTCTCTAACTGTTATCATTCTTTTAGTCGAACTTGAAATAATATATATATTTTGTTACTTGTGTCCATGCTCTTTCATACTTCTTAACCTTTAGCTTACTAATCTACAACCCCGCCACAGCCATGTTGAAATTTGACTATTCATCACTCCGGTTACTCTAAACTTTAGCAGCCCAAACCGAAAGTACCTTGAGAACGGAAGAATGACCTTGAGCAGCCAATCAGGTGACTGGGGATATATGACACCAGCCTCCAGAAAGGACATATTGAGGCGACCCCTACGCGCAGGGCATGTGTATTATTGCCTATTAGCTAGCGCTCAGTGCTGCCTGGGACGACCACTGTCGTTTTGTTTAGCCTTCTGATTGATCCTTGACAAGGTCATTTGTCCGTTCGTAAGGTAGTTTCGGTTTGGGCTGCTAAAGTTTAGAGTCACCATCACTCCCTTGAAATATTTTGATGATGTAAACGCTAATCTAAACTAATTTTTATTCTTGTTCTATGTTTGACAGACTGAATGTACATATACATACAAAAATAATTATATAAATGCGCGATTGTATAGAGAAGTGAATATGAATCCACCAAAAAATCTCTTCTCTAAAGTTTTTGTTCTTATTTCAACAAACTAATCAACCAATCATCCTGTAAAATCCATCAGAAAGCCTAGTACTAATTAATACTAATGAAATATGATTCATCAAGTTACCACCTACTTTGTGATATCTGTTTTCTTTACATAGTTTATTGTGTGTGACACATCTTTTGGTTCTTATACTGCACCACGCGTTTGTGCAGTTTTAATTCGATCTGGAACAAGTTGGAATCAGGAAAAGCGAATCATATATGCGATTCAAATTGCTACACATCATCATTTAACAGAGAATAAATAGAGTGACAGTCAAATATATATACCTCGATTTCATCGACTTTGAAAAGCTTTCGGGTAGCGTCGACAGTGAAGGTATTTGGAGACTGCTTCAAAGCTACAACGTGCAGTGCTCCGAATCTTAATCAACATCATTTAGTAGCTATATGATAACGCCACAGGTCAGGTGATCCTCAGCGGAAAACTTTCCGAGGCCTTTGAAGTGAATGTAAGAGTAAGACAAGGCCGTAATCGCATTCTGGTCCCTCCAGTAGGATGGAAATGTGAGTTGATAAATTGGGCATCACGTCGAGAGTGATATGGAGGAGCTCGTGTCAAGAAGAGTGTAGAGATTGTAGGCAGTTGTGGAGCCAGGTGAAATAGAATACAGAGAACTAAATAAAATGGTGATGTGCAACTTCTAAGCCTCATAAACCACTCGGAACCTGGGGGATTTATAATGTAATAATCACCTACTTTAAGTAGATTGCATAATTCTTAGATACTTACGGCTAATAAGCTGAAAGTTCTTATTTGTAATTCTAGTGCTGCTCGTATTTTCATTTCGATGATTAAATGAATTCATATTTATATTGAATTGAAATATATGCGGCCTAGTGGCCCAATGAATGGTGTTTGAAACGTCGAATGCTGGGTTTTGAGTGTCATTGAGCACTTCCTTACTCATTGGAAGAGAAGTAGGTGTATTCAGAAGACGGCAAGTCTGAAATACGACGAAATGCGCATCTTAGATTCCACTAATAGTTGTTATCAAATAAATAATATTATTAGAAATAGATGTCGGCAACTCTAAAGAATAGGAGTCCAAACCGAAACGACCTACGAACGCACAAACGACCTTGAGAAACCAATCAGCTTACTGTGTTGTTTCTAGAAGTAGTTATGGATGCTCTACACCTTTTGCGTTGTAAATTCGCTCCGGATCTTGTTTTTGATTATTGTTTGGATAAGGGACTGATTTCAAGGTCGAAAATTTGTCAGTGTGGAGGTGATATGCGTATACAAAAATACACAAAGTCCATTGATAGGTTTGTGTACAGGTGTAATGAGTGCCGGAGGAGAAAATCATTTCGAGAGGGTATGTCGTTCTTTTTTAGTTTATAGATTCCTTAGACACTTTATTCTTAAAGTCTAAATTACCCTTAACAAAAATTTTAATGATCTGTAATTTCTGGATACTGAACAAACCAGTTACAGCAACGGCTTATGAAACGGAAAATTCAGAAGTGTCTGCAGTGCAGTGGTACCAATACTGCAGAGACGTATCGTCCTGGAAAATGAACAGCCTAACTCAAGTTCTTGGATGAGTTGGCGTAATCGTTCAAATTGATGAGACCGTATTAATAAAAAGGAAATATAATCGCGGCAGATAACGAGCAAACCAACAATGGATATTGGGTATCTATGACACCACTCTCCGAAAAGGATATATCGAGGAGATTCCTAATCGCAGTGCAGGTGTATCATTGCCTATTATCCAGCGCTTAGTGCTGCCTGGGACCACTATTCACACAGACGAATGGAGCAGTTACGGTCAATTGTCGAATCTCGGGTATATTCATCATGTAGTCAACCACACAAACGGTTTTCGCAATCCTTTGGATGGAACTCATACTAATTCAATCGAAAGTTTCTGGAGTCACCTAAAAAACGGATTAGATTGGTGAATGGATCTGGAAATCCAATGATATACAGTTATCTTGATGAGTTTATGTATAGAACTTGGTTTAACACCAGTATGAAGACACCTATGAGAAATTGGGAGCTTTTTTTGCAACATATACGAGAACACTGACCATTTTAACAATTTTTAACATTGCATTACTTTTATATACACGATTTTTTGCAATTATGCGCCGTTATTTGAGTCTTCTGATTGGTCAAAGTTGTCCTTGACAAGGTCATTTGTGCGTTCGTAGGTCGTTCCGGTTTGGGCTCCTATTCTTTAGAATTGCCGAAATGTCTATGGACAGTTTGAAGATGTGTGTGTGTGTGTGCGTCTTGTTGTTGGGTGGGTGTTCTAATGAAAAAAAGAAATCACATTTAAATGTTGTTCAGTATGTTTTAGCTTTCAATCAGATGTTATTTTCAATTATTTAATTATAAAAATAGTCTCAGTATTAATATATTCATTCTTGTTTTTTTTCCATTTTTTTAAAATAATAGAAATTAGAAATAAAAAGCCAGTGGAAAATCTTGGTCGTCCTCTATTTGCTGTGTCAGATGTCCTTCTTTCAGAAAGATATACAAATTTTATTAACAGATCACTGTGTATGTTTATATTGCCTGCAATATTATCACAAATCCCAGCTGAAGAATTAATGGACAGCGCTAAACATTATTGGGAAGAAGCTTAGTATGTGTTATTCATAGTGAATTATTATTATTATTTTGTTGTTGTTGTTGTTGGTACTTTTTTATTTGTCTTATTACAAATTGTTTCTTTTTTTCTTCCATAAATTCTGTATTTAATAAGTGAGATAATGCTTATCTTCATATTATTTCATTTCAATTAACTAGGTAGATAGCGTCGGTGGCATAGCGGTTAAGACGTCCGCCGACCATGCACATGGTCCGGGGTTCGATCCCCGGCCACAGACGCACTCCTTTACCTCGCTAAGCCAGAAATAATGCTGGTGAAGAGGAAAGGTTGGGCATGAGGCTAGCAACCCCATCCTGTAAAACTAAACACTGCTACAGAAACTTCAAGCCACTAGCTTGAAGCCCTATGTTCCACTGGGGAACGTGAAGGGAAAAAAAACTAGGTAGATGACTAAGATTTCTCTTTGTTGATAGTAAACTTGAATTGTCACACAAAAAGAAGATTTCGTTACTGCACTTACTTGTGAGCGGGTTTGTGAAACCCGCTCCACCTACCGAAGTTCAGGCAGCCAGGTAGTATCACTAGCCCTTACAACGCCTCTGGAATTGCAAATGGTTGTTGTGTAACACTGTGTTCGATGGAGATAGAGTAACTCGTTGACTTAAACACTCGACTTTCAGACAGCAGTAGACCATGGGTTCGAATCCCATTCCAATCTACTTCAACCTGAAAAACTAGGTAGAGTATGATCAGTCCTCACAAACACAATATAGGGGCAGTCTGCTTAAACTTTGGGCTACCAAGACCTCCACCAATATATTGCATAGAATTTCTCTCGTTCAGGTTGTTTAAATTTAGTAAAACATGACGTCTAGTAGTATTTTTTTTCGAATCTGGCGAGTATTTAAAACACATACAACCTGCTGATTCGTAAAGTTTCCACTGAACATGGGAAAAAGCGTTATTCTCGATGGCAGCCAATCCCGATACATTTAATGACCGATCCTGGTTCTGAATATTTACTCCCGAATTTTTTTAATGATTGGCTTTAAACCAAATTTCGTGGAATTCTTTATTGGAGATATCGTAGTGGGTTGCTTTGTGCTTCAGGTCGGATAGAACTGTGTCACGCTACCTACTGTCAATTAATATTTTTTTATTCGAAGATTCTGGACGAAGAGAAAATACCCCTGAAAATTCTATACATCATATAAACACTGTCCATAATAAAGCTATCATTGTGATTATTATTATTATTACTAAAATAGCTGTGTTGTGGCCCATAGCCTGAAACATGAAAGACATGTTCAGAGAAGTGATTTTAGACTAATGGTTGGGATATTACTATTTTCAAAGTTAAATATTTCTGGAATTTGGGTGGCATTTAAATCAACCAACTGACCAATTCAATCAGAGACAAACCTTCTCGACTTAATAAGGACCCGATAGATTTAAATTAAATAAAGCAATCAGATGGGTCAAACTAGTGGGTTGGGGTCAATTAAATTATCTGAATCAAGAAAATTAGTTAGCCTAGAATGACTAACCCTGTTATGTTAAATAATCTAGAAAAATTCTCAGCCATTGCAATGTGTTCACTTGCATGTAATCACACAATAGAGTGGGATGGGGGTAAAATAATAATAATAGCTTTATTCCAAACAGCACTTTTGATACCAATATAGAATTTTCAGTATGTTTAAAATATTGTATCTAATTTACTCTCTGTATAATAGTGGTAATAATTAATCGAGGCATTTGCATTGATGGCCAGAAAAGATCAGCAACAGAGATCTCTGGGAGCGAACCAACCAGGAACCAATTGTGAAACAAATAGGCAGGAAGAAATAGATGGATTGGCCAAACTCTGAGGAAACCATCCAGTGACATCACTAGACAAGCCATTGCTCGAGTGGAACCCGAAAGGGAAGCGGCGAGTTGGTCGTCAGTGCAAGGGTGACTTGGAGGAGGTCATGTGAAGAGCAGATGAAAGCATGTGGGCAGACTTGGAGCCAGGTGAAAACGTTGGCAGAGAACAGAACGCGATGGAGACGTGTGACTGAAGCCCTTGGTTCCTCTAGGAATTAAAGGAAACAATAATAATAATATTTGCATTGATAATATTGTTAAATAGGAGTATGAATATAAAATTGAAATCTAAATGAATATATTAAGAACAATATTATAATGAAATAAAGAATAAAGAACGGCCAAAATCTAATATTCTCATTTGAAGACTGAAATTAGCTCCGTCTACTATCAAAATAGGTTATTTGCTGACTGTATATACTTTTTTTGCAGTAGTGATATGACTCATTAACTTTAAACTTTGTCTGAGTTTCATAAGAGAAATATTTTTTTATAATTCTGATCTATCTTCTGCGAACTATTATTATTCCCTTGAGTTCTAAGCAGAATATAGGGCTCCAACAACACATCCCCACTTTGTCCTATTTTCTGCTATCCTTTTCATCTGGATCCACGATCGCCCATAATCTCTCATCTCCTCCACACACGATTTCCTCCATGACACCCTAGGACGACCCACTTGTCGCTTCCTATTGGGATTCCACTCGAGGGCCTGGCGCGCAATATCTTCTGCAAGCTAATTGACCGGAAAGTATCACTAGCCTTCAGACATCATATTCATTTTGTCCTCAGTGAAGAAATAATATTCGTAGCCGCCTACTGCATAAACGTATATCGTGTCATTGAGTTGCATTATTTATTTCTCATTAAGATATCTTTTTGATATTGTTGAAAGTTTTTCAACTGTAATTCCAGTATAGTGCCTAGGATCTATTGTGGACTCAACAGTTTCCAAAACCAAAATTCACCCGATTGGACACTAATAACTAGTGTGATGTGTCTAGTCATTTCTTTGGTGCAGACTAAATTCTATCAGTCAGGCTCGCAATGTGGCCACCGTTCTAGGTAGCTCGCCATCACGATGCACACATTGATTTGATGATATTAGGTGGTTGGAGGCAATCGGCAAGAAGCCGATAGAAATTAGTCTGCACCAAAGAAAAGACTAGACAAATCACACTAGTTATTAGTGTCCAATCAAAGTATCCACTACAGTCCTACAGGAGGTCAATCGCGAGCACGAACAGCTCAGTGGTAACGTCTCTGACTGCAGTCCCACTGGGTGACGCAGGTTCGAATCTCAGATAAGATATGAGTTCCTTCTCGGCTGCAGATACACCTTGCTGTGAATGGTGGTTGCCAAGTAGCACGAAACCTAGGTCCAAGGCTTCCAGCCGATTGCCTCCACCCATCTAATATCAACAAAAGTCACCTAGATAAAGATTTACAATGATAAAAGTAAACATAACGCTACTGCACCAGTGTACTTTCTATTGGAGGATCTTTATTTCGGCAACCTACACTGCAATACAATGGTAGTTAAACTCAATCTTCTTTGATATATAAGGTTGTTCTTGCCATCCTTTTTGAAAAAAAAGAGTTAGGTGTTCTTGTTATTTGTTATATCTCATATAGGTTTCCTAATGGATCATTTTTTCACTTTGAAATACTTGGGTTACTCTTAGAAAATAAACGAAATTAGTAAATTATAGTAAATCAGTATTAGTCATTTTAAGATCGCTTCTACCTAATCGTAAGTGAAATGTTGTGACTGAATGGATTCACTTTTTCTCAGTCAATTTTATTCTGTGTAAACTATTTATAAGTTGTGGTGTGCTAATGACTAGATTTATCAATAGTACATGGGCGCAGATTGATAGGAAGCGGCCAAAATTGAAAGCAACATTTGAAATCAATGGCTGTGTAGGTAAAAGTGTTTCTGTCTTAAATCTGGATTTAGTTTTCGTTATGGTCAGGAAATGATCTCATTGGGTAACCTTTTGTCTCAAGGTTTAACCTTCAGAGAATCGACAGCCAATCGAAACAGTTTATTATCCTCTGACATGGTCAACCTTAAATGTGGCCAAATCTCTTGTCTTCTGTCGTTACAGTATGACTTGACCACTCCTACGATATATTTTATTTGTAAAGTAAATGTTTGAGATTTATCTAACTACTTATTAATATTATGATGTTATTTTTCCCTTGGGTTCCGCGTAGAACATCGGGCTTCACCAGAACATCTTTTTTATTTGGCTCCAGGATTTTCCATAACATTTCATTTCCTCCTCACATGATAAACTATTTCACCCTCTAAGCGATGCAAAACTCGTCGTCGTGTTGTATCACCCGGTGGTCTTCTCAACATGTGTCCAATCTACCTCCATTTTCTTCTGCATAGGTCGGCTTCTTGACAGAATGTCTTTTATTACTTATTCTTCCTGGCTGGCTATCGCATCTTCGGTATCGAGCTAATGAAGTTATTGATGAAAGTGTGCCATAAACTGTTGGAAATGCCTTTCGTGACTCACTAAGTCTCAGGTCCTAAACCTACAGAAAGAGGGGCGAAGGTTTTGAGCATGGGTGTGAGGCTAAATGACTGTTTCCACCGGCTATATTCAATCCACTTACAACTACAGTAAATTCAATGTATTATAATAAATTTTTAGTTTTTTTCATAAATTTCAAGTGTTCTCCTGTTTGCTCATAGAATTTCCTACTTCTCATCTCATTTATAAAATAATTTTATTATTTAAATAGTGAATATGCAATAAGTCATTGTTCTGAGTCCACAACGGAGGTTACAGAGCAGAATGCAAAGTCTAATGATGCTGGCGGTGATGATAATGATGTCGACATCAATAATGATAATAATAATAATAATGATGATGATGATGATTATGTTCCTGTAACCAGAAATAAACGAAAACCCAAGGGAAGGGATTATCCAGTTACAATAGCATATAAAAGGTTAGTTTTTCAGCCTTAATGATAAAAAGAAGTAGGGAACAGAACGCATCTGCCTCTTCTAACTCATGAATAATCCCCATCCAGACATCAATGAAAAACAAAATATTGTAGTTCAGCGAAGAAATCTCTTCTCGGCGAATTCATCACTTCCCTTTTATCAATCCTCACTCCCAGCCGTGTAGTTAGAACTTGATTACTCATTACATTTTTGAAATGTCTTGATAACAACAATCCTAACATATTCTTATTCTTATTGGACAAACCTGATGTTCATATATATACCAAATTAACAATATATAATTGCGGTTGTATAGCTGAGTAAATGAATTCACCGAGAAGAGACTTTTTAGCTGAACTACGTGTTTTGTTTTTATTAACACCTGCTTCTATCCAAAAAAATTTTTATCAATGAATTTTATTCTGAATCTGGATTATATCAAAACATTCGGAGTACTACTAATTTTATAATTGTGGTGTATATCTGTTTTTACGAGTTGATCATGGATTGATATCAGTTAGAGAACCATTGAAAACCAGCACAGGAGTACTGGACAGCTGCTGTTTCATCCTAGTTTGGGAATCATCGGCAGTACGCACCCACCGCTGGGATTTGAACCCAGGATCTTCCGATTACAAGGCAAGCTAGCTCGTATACCATTCAGCCACTGGGACCCGATTCAATGGCCAGCTCATGAATTCTAACTTCTACCAACCAATTCGTGATTTAGCGCGACCTTCAACCAATGTTGTCGGTGTATATCTGTGTTTAGTGTCTTTTCTTCCTCTGTTTGTATATCTGATTCTCTCTCTCTCTATCACCCCTTGGCTTCTTTCTATGCATGCTTCATTAGCATTATATAATGCTTTCTGATTGATTATATATAGCATGATTTATCATGATGAAAACAAATTTATATTCATGATAACCAACGAGATTCATCAAGCCACAGTTAAGCACGCTCACACACACACACATTTCGATGAAATACACTGCAACTTTTTCTTTGAACCTGTGTGAGTTGGAGCTTTCTCGTTTGTTCAAATAAGAGAATGACTGACATTTATGAAATGCTTCAAAGAGTTAAGCTTAACAGACTTATCTAATATATTCGTTCGCCTATCTGTTTCATTTCTAATGTTAGAACAAGACATATAAGCGAACAATATTGTTTTCAATTAGATCTTCTTCAAGCTTTACTCTAATTTACATAAATTTATGTATAAAATTTTAACCAATGACGGTGATTTTGGGAATCAAATAATAATAATTAATAATAATAATAATAATGTGGTAAATGTTTTAAACGAAATTAATAACGATGATTATAATGATAACAAAATATTGATAATAAGGTTTATGCAGGTGATAAGAATAACAAAGATAGTATATGTGTATAAGTGTATAAATAAATTGGGTCAAATCTTAAAAGGTGAAGTGGAACGATAATCAGAGTTTAAATAAATATTATAAAAGTACGAAGGAGGTGGAAAATAAGAAAGGGTGGGAGGGTTTTGAATACAATTCACCTAGGCCAAGGGAGAGACAAAGGTAGAACAAACTTCTTTTGTATGCAAAGACTAGGATTGTTCTCTTGAATTCACATAGCTTCGGCTATGTGTAAAAGACATATTCGAATTCCATTCGAAAGCCTCGGTGGAATACGATAGATAACTTTGAAAGCACTATTTTTGTCCACTTGGTGACCGCTATCAATCAAATGAACCAAAATAGAACTTCGTATGGATTTTATTTGACCTTTTCCGAACCATGAAGGAAGATGCTCATTAATGCGTTTGTTAAGCTGTCTAGTTGTTCGCCCTATATAGCTATCTCCACAGAAGCAACTAAATTTATGGATACACATCGAAGTGGCACAGCTAGGTAGCTTATCTTTCACTTGAGCAATCAAAATTGGTCGGCTGGAAAATAACAAACAAAGGGTGGCGGCAGTATAAGTCCGTTTTATCGCTCTCGATAATTTCAGACTTCACTAATCTAAGACTTCACTAGTCACGTCCCCATTAAATTGAAGTTTGTAAATTATGTAGATTAGAGTAAAGCCTGAAGAAGATCTAATTGAAAACAATATTGTTCGCTTATATGTCTTGTTCTAATATTATAAATGGGAATATTTAAAGATTTGAAATCATTTCTAATGTATCTCGTCCACACATCACTCGTTCAAAGTTATTATTATTGTATTCACTGCGATTGTGAGACAGCTCTAGGTAATGATATCAGCCATTGTAGAAAACTACGTGTTCATGTATCCATTTCACCTTTATGTATGTAACTTGAGAACCCAAAAAACTGTCTGCGTATAAGATATTCATTGTCTGTTTTACTTTTCATTTTTAGATTAAGAGGAGATTACAGTTACTCAGCATTACGTGATGTCGTTGAATCTAAAGTGAACTCGGCTAAGCGGACCAATTCTACAACAACCTTTACAATTGTTAATCCAGATGGTGTATCTATACCGTTAACATTACCGAATAAAATCAGAATTTTACATGCTTGTGGTTTTCAAGCTGATTCATTTTTAAACCTCAAGAAGTAGAATAATTATGTAGTTTTTCATGCAGATTATGAATTATGTTACTTTATTTTTAAATATAAAAATTGTGAATTTTTACTTCACTTGTGCTTTTTCTCATGATATAGCACTAAAGGTTTCGCTTGAAATGATGTCGGAAAAATCTATTAGTCTCAGAGGCAAGGAAATTGCAGTATCACTGTACAATATAATTACGTAATAAAGGAGGTGTTTATGTTTCATATGGAGGTGTATTGGTTTGTTCTTAGGACATAAAAATGCCTATCAAGGTAACTTCAGTAAGAAAGACCAGTCCATTGATAGAGTTTTCAGTCACATTTAGTGAAACAGCTAGTATATTTGCTATGGATACGGAGTTACTATCCTGTTTGATAAACACTGTTAACATAAGCAGGACATGCTGACAAATGACTGGCAGCCAGTCACGAATTGGTAGAAGTTAAAATTCATGGGCCATTGAGTCAGGTCCCCCAGTAGTTGAATGGTCTACGAGCTTGCCTTGTAACTAGAAGGTCCTGAGTTCGAAACCCGATCAGTGAGTGCGTACTGTCGATGAGACCCTGGAAACTAGTACGAAACAGCTCTGCAGTAGTCCCTGGTTCCCGATAGTTCTCCAGTTGATATTAACCAATGGGCAAACTTGAAACAAATCGATTCCCCACAAAATTACTCTTGAAATCAATCTCTATTCGTTCAATACTTATTCATACGCCATTCCAAGGCAAAACAACTGGTACTAACACATTTGTGTTTCATGTTCACGTCATTTCGTCACAGCAGATGAATAACATACGTTGCTCGATACTCGACACACTGATAAGTTTGAGAAATGAACGATTTTCAAAATGTTTTTTATTCTAACATAGACTGAAATTAATAGTTTCAAGTTGATGTTAATTGACTTTTACAGTGTGATATAGTTTTACGCTGTACATCGTTAGAATTATTTACAGTCTCTTAAAATGAGAAAACTCTACAACGAATTGTTATCTACCTAAATGGTATCGTTTTGAACACCCATTTCATACATTCCTATTCTGCGCGTTCACATATTGCTTTTGGACTTGTAATTCTGTTCCTGCTCAATCTGTTATAGTGCAGTTCGTGAATATTTGGCCACCTTATATGATTGGAAGTACTTTGCATTTGCATATAACCACCCAGTATTCGCGTCTTTCTATTGGCTACACCTTTTTATTGTTTAAAGTTGAAAATGTTTTCTATTTTATGTGCCTATGCGATAGTAATTATAGTCTGGTTTCAAAACAGACAAGCTTCTTTGTAAGCCATGATTTTCGCATGACACGATAACCTTACTGAACAGTTTTTAATCGTCTATTTTTGGCTTGATTTTCTGAGGGATTGTAAACATAATATACCAGGTATTTTGTCTAATGAGGATGGTCGTTCTAGTTACCGTTTTTCCAGTCTGACTTTTATGTCTATCTTAGTGTGAGAGGTAATTTCAAGTGATCAGTCAGTGATAGCATCGTGTTCTGATGGCGCATCGACAAACCAGCATCACTCAGTATAACAATTGGATTCTTCGCCGTTGCATTGACCTCTGTTTAGTTTCAGCACTCAACTGAAAAAAGTGCAATTCTACAAAATGTTTACTAGTTCCAAATCGTGGGATTCACTGGGATTTAACTAAATAAATCTTAAGGGAAATTAATACAATATACAGCACGTACATTCGACGTTAACACAATAACCTAACCAAGCTCAGTCTAAAGATGGGTGTATTCAGATACATCCGGAAGTATTATTGACAGCGCAAGGATGCGTAGGTGATATGTCCTCATGAATGGTCTACATCGAAGCACTGTTTACCTGATAGAAAGCAGGATAGTTTTAACCCTAAATAAGGGTTATGATGGGACGAAAGTCAAAATGCAGCTTGACCAGGGATATTCGTCTTTTTATTGATAGCAGTGGAATCAATACACGCATACTCTATACCTTCTGTTGTATTAATGAATACTTTCGACTTTATTACGTGTTTGCCCACGACATTGTACGCTTTTCGTCCACACCCATTGCGTTGCATTTTCAATAGATACTTTTAGCGATAAATCACACTGTGATTCGGTTGAAATCAATTTTTAAAAAGAATCATTACTAGAGAACATTTATTTTCTCGAAAAAAAATACACTGTACATAAAGCTCTTTGTTACTTTTTTTTATTTATAAAAAAGGCCTATTTTTGTACATCTTGACTAGATATCAAATTTGATTCTACTAATTCTACACGTGGGATTAGTGTATTTGGAAGACAAAATACCCGACAAGGTAAAACTGAAAGAATAGATATTTTTGATTGATTAGAATTTTGTACAAGATCGTTGACTGAATCATTCCATGTAACTGTAATTGAGCGGCTGGCTTCTGCGATTGATCTGTTACCATTGTGGTTCCTTCTGTCCCTGTTATTTGATACATCTTTGTCTGTTTCATTCGCGTAAGGCATTTTATCAAAACTCCATTTGAAAACATTTTTCAAAAACTAAGTAAGAAAAGAATAAATGCAATATGTCAAGGATACATGGTAAATGGTAGTATATGAAATCAACCTCAGTTTTCTATGAAACTAGAAAAAAGCTATCTCCAAGGTGATATATGTAAAAGCTGAACTACAAGTGCTGAAACAAAAACAAGTACAATTCACCATCTCACCTCACCAACCACGTATATGGTTCGGGGTACTATTCGCGGCCGACGAAAACCAGAACACTTCGCTTTTTTATTCCCTTACTTTAACATTGGAACATAGGGCTTCAAGCTACAGGCTTGAAGTTTCGGTAGCAGTGGGTTGCTAGCCTCATGCTCAACCTTCCCTTTACCAGTCTTATTACTGGCTTGGCGAGGTAAAGGAGTGCGTCGGTTGGGGATAGAACCCCGGACCATATACATGGTCGGCGAGCATTCTACCGTTGTGCCACCGACGCACTTGACTACTACGTCTAGCCGGTGAGTAAGCCCAGGAAAGAGGGGGGGGGAAGGGGAAGGTCATGAGACTGTCAACTCCATCCCTTAAAAATAAAACCACTGCTACTGAAACTTCACAGCTCAAGCTTGCGTTTTAATTAGAGACGCAAAGGAATAAAATTAAAAAAAAATAATAAAACGCCATTTCAGACTGACTGTTTAAACTGTCCATGATTATGTGAGCAGTTTTAACTGCTTTTGCCTGATACTAACAAGTTATTCTTTTTCCCGAATCAAATCTAACTTGACGATCTTAGTTCATTTATATGAAGTGGTAGGGTAATTAGCCAAGCATATTTGCATGTCAATTTGAAATAGCAACTAGTTGCACTGGTAGGAAGGAGTATGCGGAGTAAGATTTGATTTCTGTAAACACCATATATAAAGCGCTTCGGGCAACAATATACATCACCCTACGTACACATCCTAACAAATGACTTTTATAGTAAGACACACATCTTATTCGAAAACTAATTTACACCTAAGAAGTCATTTCAGAGATTTGTTAACATCTGAATGGAGGCAATTAGCAGAAAGCCTTGGACACTTACGATTCATGCTTGTTAGCACTCGTCAGCAAGATGTATCTGCAATCTTGAAGGAATTTATGTCCCTTCTGGGATTCGAACCCGAGTCATCCAATGCTGCACTTAGAAACGGCACCACTGAGTTATTCAGGCTCGTGGCTGACTTCCTGTAGGATAGTGTGATGGATACTTTGTCATTATTCATTGTCCAATCAAAGTAATATTTTATTCAAATTAAAGTCATGTAAAATTTCAACGAATAGTGGTATAGTCGATATCAATACACATGCATACTCTGACTGACCTGTTTAACTTCTGTATCAATAACCAAACCGAACGATGTGATCAAAATCTTTATTTTATTAAAGGATAGATCCATAACGATTCCATTTTCATATAACGGACCACAATCCTTGTTGTTAAAAAAGAAACATAAATTACTGGTTAACTGAATTATTTGTGTTTCAAAACAAAACATTTTCCAACACAGTAGGCGGCACAAGAGAATTGATAACATGACACCTCTCACCCATGAAAAGATATAGATTAGTTGGGACTTTAGACCGAATGTTTACCGCTGAACCTGGCATAAAAGTGTAGGCGTTCAAGTTATCACACTCTGTGTACTTTACAGAGGTAAAGAAGAATTCAAAAGAACTACAACTAATGCAAAGTTAACGAAGGAGGAATAAGTATAGGCAGAAAAATAAGAAATTTATGGATCTAGGAGTTCATAAATAGTGAGAGAACAATTTTGAGCCATACCACCAACAAACCCCACCCGCTAGTTATCACTTAAGACCTGTTTTTTTTTCCTTCACGTTCCCAGTGGAACATAGGGCTTCAAGCTAGTGGCTTGAAGTTTCTGTAGCAGTGTTTATTTTACAGGATGGGGTTGCTAACCTCATGCCCAACCTTTCCTCTTTACCAGCATTATTTCTGGCTTAGCGAGGTAAAGGAGAGCGTCTGTGGCCGGGGATCAAACCCCGGACCATGTGCATGGTCGGCGAGCGTCCTAACCGCTATGCCACCGACGCACTTAAGACCTGTAATGGATAGAAACACATTATGTCTATCTTAACACTACTGGTTCAGATTAGAAATATCTAACCGATCTTCTAGGTTCATGTATCGTTTAGTGACCATTCAATTCAGAATAACAAGAAGAACTACTGCACTGAAATTTTATGAGTGTTTGACTGCCGACTGCTTTCAGCGTCAGTTGTTTTAATCGTTTGATTCATGTAAACTGCCAGCTTCTTTTAAGAATCTTCGACGCATCACAACATCTTATATTAACTGTACTGAACAACTTATCCGAAGATTGAAAACAGAAGCGAGTAGTTTTGAAAAGGTGGTTCGAGAAATAAATTTACTATGGAGAATTAAGTTTATCAACTAAATGCATAACATCCAATCCAAAAAGAAATGTAACATTTCTGAGAACTTTCAAAAAGTATCGTGAAAGATCAATCATTCTGTATTGTTTCCGAAAATCCAGAGAAATTTGTTTATAATATCTCGACCCTATATCGAAGTAAAGTTAAATTAGAGGCACTTTTGTGGC